AACTCAAATTGACCGAAAAAAAAAACATGTAAAAACAGAGCAACGCTGCACTGGACTCACATATGTTTATAAACATGCTAACTCGAACACTTTTCTGGGCTGAAGAGCATTCCGGTGTGCGTTCGATGCTTACCGTTGATTACTTACCGGCAATCAACGAAACAAAGCGAAATTAACTGAGCAATCTGAATCAGGGCGAGTCTCACATTCAATCGTACATTCTCTTGCATCGGCTGGCATTGTGGGAGTGAATTCTTTTTTCTTTTTTTTTTTTTTTTTGTGAAAGAATTAAAGAAATCAACGAGAGCCAAGAAAATGAGAAACAAACGAACACATAGGCTTAGCATTGCTAACAAAGCGAGAAAAAGATTTCCATTAATTTCGTTTTCTTTCAACACCAAATTAAATGCAAACAAAGCCATCAATTGATGAGCATGCGGTCGGTAATTCATTGCTAAAAAAAGCAAATTGAATTATTCGCGCCCGCACTTACACAGTCACTTGTTTGCCGGTCCGATGTTTTTGTATCATTGCTAACATCTTCCTCGTCTTTTTTTTTCTTCTTTTATTTTGTTTCGTATCCTCTATTCGCATTTCGAGAAGTTTTCAATTTCATTGTTGCTGATAGAGTTTATATTCATCTAATTCGTTTGCCTTGCTATGGCTGTTAAGCCGATGCGATAATGTTTGAAATGATTTAGATTAAAAGTTGGATAATTCAATTAAGATCGCTCGAATTGAAGAAACGACACGATGACACTAAACGGTCAAAGCGTCGTTTGTTTATTTTTATGTTGATTGTTTCTTTTTCTGCATGCAGTTGAATTTCATCAATTTGCTTCTATATCAAAATGTCGAGTTCATTCAATTAGACACATTAGAAGGTGGTGCGACATGTGAATGCAAAGAAAAAAAATTATAATTAAAATGAACTTGATTCGATTAGAATTTTGTTATACTTACATTTTGTTTGGCGAATTTTCGCAAGACCACTTTTGAGAAGAGTTTTTTTTATGTCATTATTTGGCTCTACACTCTCGAACACAATTTAATGTGAAATGTTCGGTGTGCGTTGCGTTCCAAATCAGCTTATCTTCCTTTTTACAAATGAATGTCACTGATGATATTGCACAAAAATGAGTGAGTCTTTCTGATGCTTTCTGATTGTGTGTGTGTGTGTGTGCATGAGTTTAAGCGTGTGCGTATGGGTGTGCGAATTAAGTGACAACATTCATGATGATACAGTGATGCTGCTGCTGCTGATGATGATGATTGATTCGCTGTCATTTATTTCAACTTTTAAGCATACACATTTTTAGTTATCTCTGGGCAAACACTGACGCCACCACCTTTTGTGTGTGTATGGAAAGATTCTTCGCGCATCAAATACCATATTTGAAACCGCGCCAAAACGAAATTTGAGAAAGAAAAACAAACGATCTGGCAAGCGGTTGCCATTTTCTTTTTTTTTCTCTTCTTCTTAAGCATTTTTCCATCGAAACGAACTGCAACGAAGCTGGATTGAAAGCGGTTTAATGCGTCTAGTTGAATGTTACATTAAATGGATCCCGTATAGCCTCGTCATATATGGATATTCTCATATCTTTTTGCACATTTCAATGCGATAATGTGTAACTGCTGATTCTTTTTTGTATTTTAGTTGTATAAGAAATGACATCATTATAATCGATCTCTTTAAATAGATATACGATGCCAACGCACACACGCAATTGTCATTGTTGGTTTGCGAATGAAATTGATGCTGTCGCTGGTGTGTCATTTTACTGCATTCATTCGTTTTGAATTGTTGGTTGATCGTTTTGTTGCCATAGCCATATCAAATAGACGCAAAACTTTCGATAAATTCCATTCCAAACTAACAGTCGATGACTATCGAATGCCGCACGATCAAACCAATTCAAAGGCCATTTCTTTGCAAGAATGCATTGAAATTTCGAGATGGTGAAACAATTACTTGTGTTGTTTGGATTCAATCAACGCGCTCGTTCACGACTCGTTTGTAAAATGTATGTTGATTCGAAAAGAGACTGACTGAGCTATAGTGACTGAGACAGAGAGAGAGAGAGAGAGAGAGAAATAGAGAAAGAGAAAGAGAGAGGGAGAGAGTAAATATTCAAATCGGGCGCTTTCTCGATATGGACTATGCATACGGGAGCATGTTATGCGGTTAATTGATTACTTCGATTTTATGATTGAAAACAAAACATAATCACAATAGCATGTATGCGGTTCTCTGGATGAATTGTTGTAATGCCGAGAATTCCCTTTGGCACATCAAAATGAATGCTCGGAACACGCAGTGATTGTGTCAAACACTATATTACCAATGGGAATACAAGCATCTGGCTCATCTTTTCGCTCGCTCGCAAAAAGAATCAAACCGACCGAACAAAAGCAAAGAACAAGATTGCAAACGAAACGGCGAAAAGGAATGTTGTTCTTGAAATGTCTCTATTGATGTTCCTGAAACATCGGCATGCGCGAGAATTTCCATGATTTTTTTTTCTTCTTCTTCCTCTAAATGCTCGATCGCTCATTGTTTTCTGTACAGATTATGCTGCCTTTTGAAACTTGATTCCATTTTGAACTTTTCTGAAATGTCAATCTGCCTGTGCTGCTACTGCTGCTGATACTGCCTTCGGTTTCAACGGTTTACTGCCTATGATACTGCCGCGCGCATTTTTTTCTCTTCACATTCATACAAATATTTTGCACATCTCGCGTGTTTTACCGGCTTTCCTTTTACGTTTCGAATATTTTGCATTGGATTGCCATAGCGCATCGTCCAGAGAAAAGAGCGAGCGAGAGAAGAAGTAAAGAAATCATTCCAAGGTTTTTGTGTTTCCCCATAACAAAGCCACTTTATTCGCCACAGTGTCATCAAGAAAGTAGTGAGAATCGATTTGTAACATTACACGCGCATAAAACATGCACTTTTGCTTATATTGGATGCAGTTGTATTTGTTGCACAGTTTTTAATGGGTTTCGAAGAAACTTTGGTGCATCATATCGTTCTGTGGCATAGAAAAACCTTTTTCCATAGAAAATTTTCTCCCACCGATTGTGATTGGTTTGTGTTTTGACTTCGATTCTCTCTTGGTTACAAACGGTGAACGATAGAAAGAAACAAACAAAAAAACACATTCTCTCAATAACCAAATCCAATGCAATTAGAATGCTCTGTTAAATAGTACGTGCCTGTGTTTTGTACGCATGTACATTGCATTTTTGTCGCTTCAGTTCATATCTCGAGAATGTGACGCGAAGCAAAACAAAAACAAACAAAAACAAAATTCCAGTAGCCACTGTGACTATTCAATTTGTCTGTCATCTCATTGTGAGCTCAGTCTGTGATATTTTCTTTTCCCTGAAAACGAAAACGAAAACCACATACAAAGAACAGAAAAAACAGAAGCAAAAAATTGGTTCTAGTTGGGTTCCGATCTGACTCTGTACATTTATTATATGTGAGAGAAAGATCCATTCCATGTTCGTTCGTTAATGAAACGCGCACCCCCTCAACATTAAAATTATAATTAAAGACGACATTCTAAACCATAATAGTCTGAACTATAAAGAATAATATGTATGTGGTGAAGCGACAATAAATGCGTTCAGCATACATGCCAAACAGAGAAAAGAGTATTATTAATAAATTCTATCACATTAAAAAAAATAAACATTTAAACAAAAGTCAATCGAAAAGAACGACAACGACATCCACGACAACAGACAATCCAAAGAAAATTGAGATAGAAAACGGAGAACGGTGAGCGTTAGAGAAGAAGAGAGAAAACTTTGGCCAGGAATCAGCCATTGAAAAATAATCATTCTCAAGAATGAGAGATGGGAGCTGAAGCAAAAAAAAGCAAACAAACACCAGCGACAACACTCGTTTGCATTTGAGAAATGGAATGAAAAATACAATGACAATATAATGCATGACTAAAAACAGTGGGCTTTTGTTTTCGGCTGTCGGTTGCGCTTTGCGTCTCTTTCTCTTCCTGATGGTGCGTGTATATGTGTGAATGAGATTATTTTGTGGCGAGAAGATGTTCATTTGCGCATAACTCTCTTTTATTCGTGCGCTCATCATGGCGCGACCAACACAACACACAGTAAAACACATATCGAATAAGCACATTTATATATATAAATTCACGCATCCATATTTCAATTTAAATTGTTTCAACGAAATCGTTTCCAGTGCTATTTTTGCACAATGCGAGAATTTACTGACAAAACTGATATATTCCTACACAGTAATTTATACATCACATTCATTTCACCATTCTATTCTCATTTTCTATATGATCCCGATTGCGATTTAAATGCATAAGAGCATAATATTTGCCGAAGCATTCATCAGTCACTGTATTCGATTCACTGGAAATGAAAAAAGAAGAAGAAAGTACCGAGACATTTGGCAAGTAAGAATTGCAAAACCGACCGACAAACACATACAAACATAACCAATATGAGGCACAAATATTACGAATGTTTAAATAAAATATAGCTTGATAACAACAAACAATTCATATCTATAGAAACATAAATGGGCGAATTGAAAACGTTGTGTGTGCATATATACTTTTGCTATTTGAACCCTGATCGTCGTTTGTGTGTTTTGTTCACACATTTAAGCGTTATAACATATTGGATTCGTTTATGATCTCAACCACTGAACGTATTTTATGATTAAAATCATTTTCAATGTGTTGAAAAACGATCAATTCATGGCATCTTTGCATTCTGGCATGTGTACAAGTGGATGGAAAGATATTCATTTTAATTTTGTGTTGTTGTTAAAATTAACCATACACCAAAGCTGAGACGAGACAAGATAATAATTGTTCGGGAGCAAAAGATATATGAGCAGCAAAAGGAAGATAAAAAAAAAATGCAAAGTGCAAGCGAACATATTGTGAGCCGAGTTATTTGATCATTGATGTGAGAGATGAGAGAGCGGGTCGTGGCAAGAAGTGAATAAGCATACAATCGATCGTGTGGACAACGGGTCAGAACGTAATTTGTGCTCAAATTGAACGCATCGCAAATCAGCTTTTTCGCGTCTCGCATTTCGAGTGTATCAACTAAGCCGGATCCATTTTTTCGGTTAGTGTAAATCCATTGAAAATCATTCATTCATTTCTGTTTGTTTATTTGGCATCTCTTGTGTGTTTCGATTGATGAAGTATTGCCGAACGTGTTCACTGTCTCAACAACACAGTTTTTCCTTCTGTTCCGCTGTTTGTTTGATCATCTTTTCAATTCGTTTTGCGTGTTGAAAACTGAGCTTTGTTTTAATTTTCGATGCTAAGGCCCATTCATTAGTGTACATAAACAGTTTTGCAGTGTGTTTGTGTGTAAGCGCACACATTTTTCGTTTTGTTTTTCTTTTCGTTTGCGGCGTTTTTTCTGCCTTCAGTTTGTTTATATTTAAATTATGCCGTTTTTTTTCGTTTCTTACTCCTGAGCTTCATCCTGGTCGTTATGTCTATTTCGTGTGTATGCCTTTCGAACTTTTGTGTTATTGTTTTCTTGAGTTGTCATCGCTCATTGTTTTGTTTCCAAGACCAATTTCGTTAGTTCCATTTATTACGTGCGTTTTTTTTTTTGTCATCGTTTGGCGATTTTTTTTTTAAATATATTTTCTTTCCAAATGTAAGTGTGCCATTGTGCCTGCATGTGAGAAACATGCGTTTTTTCGTCTCTATCGGCAGTTTTTTCTCTCATCCGTTAGCAAAGCAAGTTTGTCTTTACATTTAATAATTTCAGCAAATTCACAACTTTAAATGCAAGCTGAAGTGAAAAAAAAAGTAATAATAAATTACAAAAGAGACAACATTGTAGCGGAGAGCAGAAGGAGAGAGAAAAGAATACGGCAAACATAAATAAAATGAACAATAATAAGCATTTCCGAGGAAGCCAGAGTGATACACGGCATTTTTCGTGTGCAAGTAATTTTCCAAGCGACTGTCAACTGTTTTCGAAATCAAAAAAAAAAAAAAAAAAAAAACGGCAAACAGATTACCGCAACCGGAATAACCATTTCGATGATATGACTTTGATCTTACTAAATTAACACAGCCGGCAAACAATAAGTTCTGAAGCGCACACAAGTCATTTCATACATTTATTTTCTCAATCGCAATTTAAAGTGTACGCTCTTTTTTCAGCTCCTCTAATTATGTGTTTTGGTTTTTAATTGTACGATTTAAAGTGAGCAGGAAAAAAACTCACAGAGAGAGAGAGAACAATGTACAAACGGTAGAAACAACAGCGAATGAAAAATATAATAAGTGAACGCATTATTCTTAAGCCCCGCACCGTTAAGCGATTGATGCTCTCTTGATGTGCCCTGTGTACTTGTACATTCTTCATTTCTCGTCTCCTTCTTCATCTATTTCTTTGTCGTAATATAGTGAATAAATTTCTTCACTCTCTCTCTCTCTCTCTCTCTCTCTCTCTCTCTATCTCTCTCTTTCGCTGTCTAAATTCAAGACTTGAATTGCATTTTGTCTGTTTAATTATGTTTGCCATTGAAATATCCACTTTTTCCTTTTGTCTTTTCTTTGCTCTGCGTGTTTTATTGTAACATTTTTATTTTTCTTCTACATCGTCATAATTTTAAATACGCTATCCGGTAGCGGAACAAATAATAATCATACTAATTCCTTGGCAGACACACAAGCGCATATCAGCTTAGTATTAATGCAAAATTGGAAATCTTCAAAAAAACAGCAGTGGCACTTTACATGTTTTATATTACACTCTTATTATACACATTCATTTAATATATCTATTTTTCTGTTGTCTTTGTTCCAGAAACTAGAAAAGAAGAAAAACCAACACAACCAGTTTTTCAATACGCGGCAGCTTAAATTGAGGTGGGACAAATAAAGAAAACAAAAATAGTGCAAAGTGAATGAGAGTTAGAGAGAGCGAGAAAGAAAGAGAGGAGACATAAAAAAGAACAATGGATGTTGGTGGCACCGACCAAGAATCATCATTATTTCAAGCATTTATTGTGCCCTCAGTAGGCATAGAAAATAAGAATGTCAACAAAACAAATGATCCAATTGTACGTATTTAGCGACTTATAATTATATACTTTTTATAGCGCATAGTCTTCTAAATATATGTCTGTTTTTCTGCTTTCGTTCTATCTTTCACTACATTTTGCTCACAGTCGAGCTGAATGTTGTAAGCGACAATTTGTTTTAGCTAAAATTATCTCAAGTTTAATTTTAACGATGGGCGCATTTGTTTGTCATCATATTTTGTTTTGTTTTGTGAATAAAAAGAAAACACTTTGCACATTAGTGTGCATTGGGGAAACAATGAAACAACCTCAAATTAAGACAAAACCAAATTGACAAACTTTTTCCGAACGATTTTTTTCCCGTTCATTTTTTCTTTTAAAAAAATTCGTTGTTTGTGAAAATCGCATTTTTATAAAATCTTTAGAAAAAGAAAGAAGGAGGGAGGTGTAAGAGGCTATAATGACAGAGACGCCAAATTAAAAATATGATTTCTATTTCTTTAGAAGCAAAGCAATTTGTCTGATCAAGAAGCACCGAAACCGGGCAGTCATAAAGATGATCAACCGCAATTATCGGAAGCAAAATTTGAACGATTCAAACAGTTATCGACTTTGCCATTGGGTTTAAGCAAATATGTGGCCAAAGATCTAATTGGAACGCCACTCGAAGACATCGACCCATTTTACAAGGATAAACAGGTAAACGATAATTATAGATTTAATCCATGCGGTTTTTTCTCTCGTTAAAATCATATTTCTGACCGCAATGACTTAACAGATTTTGTAAGAGTTTGTTTCTTTTTTAAATCTCTATTCGAATTGGTAAGATCCAAATTGACCAAAAAATGAAAAGACCCATCGACAATTTGTCGCCGACAAATCTAAAGTATGTACAGTTGTACACAAAATATAATTGCTGGGTCTTTTTGATTTCGTTGTCGAATGAAACATTTTTTGGAATTTGGTGTGTTTCTTTTTCTTTCGTTTAATTTCGGTCTAATTTTTGTTTGTTCATCTCGCTCAAAAATGATTTGTTTGTGGGATTATTTCTTCCGCGTCAAATTTTATGGTGACGTGATTTTTCGTTCCATGCAATGATCTACACATATATAAGAATATTGGTCTTTTATAATAGTCACATTGAACACCGTAAATTATTAGTAATTAACGTAATTCTTCATGATTTTTTTTTTAAACTATTAAATAGTGATTTTTTTTTTCTTTTTCGTTCGAACTGTTGATGGTTCGTTTTCGTGCCGATGTTTTGTGTTTGAATTTTTGCCTTTGTTCGAACAAATCTTTCGGTATTTTTTTTGGAGCGAATGAGACAGACTAATATCCGGTTATTAAACATATTTCATTTGGTTAGATATTTGTTGCGGGTAGCTGGTGCTTTGAAATGCATAGTAATGTGTTTAATTGTAATGTACAACAATCGTTCGTTCGGTCGTTCATTTGCTCACTGTTTTTTCTTCTTCAAATCAGAATTTTTTTTGTTAATTTTGTTCTACCTCATTTCGGGATACGAAACGCTCTAATGTGTTATGAGTGCTGTTAATTACTTTGTATACTTCGCTGATTTGCTCTTGTTCTCTTTTCTCCACACATCGAAATCGTCATTTTGATTTTCTATTGACGAAATGACGATAATTTGCAACTTAATTCAGTTGACCGCTGTCCATCATCGCTGTGTATTGCAATTAAAAAATTAAACAACATATTTAATTTCACCATTGTTGTTTGAATAACGCGCAACCGTAATTTTCTTAATGACAATCATTCATGGGAACGAAACAGTTCGCACTCTATAAATTGAAATCAACACGAGAAAACAAACTATCTAAATAAAAACACGAATCACCTTTTTTTTAGAAAGTTCAATGAAATGTTGATTTTACCTTAAAAAAAAATAATTTTCAGACATTCATTATTGTCAATCGAAACAAAGATTTGTTTCGTTTTTCGGTGCCAAAATCATTGTGGTTGTTTCGACCAAACAATGTATTACGTCGGACATCAGCTCGTATTTCGACGGACCCACTTTGGACAGCATTTATGATTTTAGTCGTTTTGGTCAACTGCTTCATCTCCCTTTTGATAACTGGATCCAATAAACTGCTGGATATTCCATGGGAGTATGTAAATTTTTTATTTTTCAATTTTTTTTCTACATTTTTTTTTTTACTTAAATTCACATAAAAATTTGATTGCAGATTGATTTTCGTGTGTATCTACATTTTTGAATTTATATTAAAAGTGTTGGCCAGAGGATTTGTATTAGAGAAATTCACATATCTACGTGATCCATGGAACTGTTTTGATCTGTTAATTATTATACATGCGTAAGTATTCATATACACAAAAAAACAGTTTTTTTTTTTTTGTTAAATTTAACACAAACAAAATGTCACCACCAGAATAAGTGCCATATGTGTAAATCCAGAAAAGGCAATCTACAGTTGTCCAAGTCTTTGTGAATTACGTGTTCTTAAGCTATGCTCACTTTCGTTGTCACTTCGACGCACGGTTAACGTTTATTTGGAATCGTTGTTGAAAATGCGTGACCTTCTATTGTACATCACATTTGCCATAATCGTAATATCAATAATGTGTCTTGAAATGTACATGGGAATCTTATCACAGCATTGTGTTCAAACACCACTTGTGGTGACCAGCGATTATTTTTGGTCAACTTTTACAACCAATTCGGGTAAGTTATGCATTTTATTACAAATTTATTGGATTCGTGTTGTTTCTATTATTTTTTCGCGCCATTGCCATTGCTACCTTTGCCACTTTTCCAATATAATCTGTTTTTCTTTTTCTTTTTACCGTCTCTCTCTCTTCCCCTCTCCCTCTCACTACCACTGTCATTTCTGTGGTATTCTGTGAAATGTTGATTCTTAAGTGCTTGGATGTAATAAGTTATTTCGAAAGCTCATCTAACTTTCTGTTTGGCACTTTTCACCTTTTTCATTTTTTCCGTAACCAAAAGGTCGCTTGAAATCCAATGAAAACACATTTACCCGTATGACAAGTGCAACCAAAAGCCACAAATTCAATGAAATATTTAAATACGAATAGAATCGACTCGTACGAGTATAAATAGAATTTGGTCGGGTGATTGATTGACTGTCACATTCATGGCATGTAAATAGTTCAAAGTAAAGAAAAAATGTTTGATTGAAGTCATATGCCATTTGTGTCGTACAAATGCATATAAAAATCTGAAAATGTGTGACTATTAATTTTTACACACGGGACCATTTCCAATTTTACTTCGTACACATTTCAATCGTCGTCCGTTTGTTTGTTGTTTTTTCGGTCTCTTTCTTTTTTTTCATTCATTTTTTCTTCGTCGAGCTTGTACAATTCTTTAATACGTTTTCTTCTTTCCGAGGCTTTGTGTTTGTGGTTTTGCATGTTTGACGGCGTTATTTGAAATGTAAAGTCAGAACTTTTAGTGTCTCAAATGAGTTTTCTTGTTCCGTTGCTTAGTCTTTTTCTCTTCTTCCCTCTCAATGTGTGTTTTGTTTTTATTCTCATTTTCTCTGTCCCTCACTCTCTCGCACACTCTTTTTTTCAGTCCATTTCTTGTACGAGGGTGGAGTGTATCCAGCCTGTGGCAATTCATCTGGTGCTCAAGATTGTCCAACAAACTATGTTTGCCTACAAGGCAATAATTTAAATCCAAATTACGGTATTACCAGCTTTGATACGTTTCTTCGTTCATTTTTGGTTGTGCTACGCTTAATTCAACGTGACTTTTGGGAAGAGACCATGCAATATGTAACTGCAACAGCTGGAGAATGGCACATTTTATTATTCATTGCGCTTATCTACTACATTTCATTTCAATTGTGTGCGTTACTCTGGACACCGATCGCTCTTGCCTACAATTATTTAAAGGACGAACAGTGGGAAAATGATTTATTGAACGATTTGAATGAGGTTTGTGGTGGTGCCGCTGGCCCACAGTAACCAAGAAATTGTTTCGGTTTGTCGCTTTTTCTTTTAAATCGTAAATGGTGTTCAATAGCTGCCAGGCTTGTGTCTGGTTGCACACACTTTATTTTCTTTTGCTTCGATCAAGGGTTCGATAAATTAACTATCAATCGAAATAGCAAAAAAAAAAACAGCCTAAGAAAATGTTCGACAAACCGAAACAATATTCGAGAAAATGAAAAAAATACCAGCGAGATGTTTTTTTTTTCAATTTCAAATTTCAGGCACAAGAACAATCAAAAGCAAGTGAAAACAAAGCAAAAAGTAAGTTTAATTTGCATATGAATTAATTTGAGATCATTAATTAATATTATCATTGCACGGTCAATTTCGCATTTATAATCATTTGCGTGGTTTTCGTTTGATCAGATCCAGGATGTTGTGCTAAATTTCAACGCATTATCTTCAATATCATTTACAATCCATTTGCTGTGCTCTTCATAATTGGTTGCATTCTGCTTAATACATTGTTCATGGCGTTAGATCATCATAACATGCCCCGAAATTTGGAGAATGTTTTATCTGTTGGAAACTACGTAAGTTATTCACATGCATCGACGTAAATAAAAAAAAACCGCAAGCATTATCATCTTTATTTATGCCAATTGACATGCACGTCGTACAAAAATGATTCGTACTTCGGACGAATGACGGCGGACGTTGAAATGTCTAATGAATAAGCGTTATCGAATGTGACCGGGCGAATTTTATAGTCGAAAAACGACGACAGAAAAATGAAATGAATCGACGTTCATTGTGCCTATTTAAAAGTTGCCGTCGACGATTTCATGTGGATCACATTTAAGTGGTTTTCTCATGCGTTTTCTTTTCAACATCGTTCAACCGTTTCCTTCCAATTTTGATTTTATAGTTAAATTTATGAGTGGCTATTTTTAGGCAGTTTTATCATCATTCATTCTTTTATTTTTCCGTCTTCTTTTCCTCTTTATATACATTTTTCTGATGGTCGCCGTTCCTGCTTGATGCCTGTTGGATACTGTCCTGAAATGAAAATGTGATGGCATTGCAACACATCTACAGGTTTTCGTATTGGTTTTTGTAATTGAAGCAATATTAAAGCTGACTGCACTTGGACCGGCTCAATATTTTAGAGATGAATGGAATACGTTTGACTTTATTGTGACAGCACTCGGGGTTATTGAATTGGGAGTGGAAAATGTTCAAGGTTTATCTGTTTTGCGTGCTTTTCGACTGGTAAGTGTTTTCACCATTTCGCTTTTGTGATATGTGTGTGCACGCTTGTTTCTCTTTTTCGTTCGTCGGTGTATCGACTGTCTGCCAAACGGTCGGTCTGTTTTTTCTCTCCCGCACTTGGTCTCTCCTTCTATCTGTCTATGCTTTTGACTTCATTTTCAAAAGTACATTCAATAATAGCAGTAGCAATCGCAACAACAACAACCAACTCGATACAGTTGTTGCCGAGGACAATAATAACGGATAACGACAGAGGGAACAACATACATTCAACGCTTTGAATTTAATTTAGTAGATTTGTTGCTTCTACTTCGAGAAATAAGTGTCTTGTTTTTAGGAAAATTCTTGATAATTTCGATTTAAAGCCGTTTTTCACCACAGAAATTGAAAAATCATCTTCGAGTGATGCGCACACAATTCACAAAGGAACCATATGGAACGTTCTATAGACCATTTTCTATTCCGCTTTTTACTCATACCCTAATCCATACGAATCTTTCAATAAAATTTAACAATTATTTTCCATAAATTAAACAAATATTAAATAAATCATAAATTCGAGCATGTGTTGTTTGTGAATATTTTTTTTCGAAGTAAATGATATTAATTATTTCTATTTTCATGACGTTGCTGTTCTGCGAATTCAATTTCACCTGTGTAATGTTTTTTCTCTCTCTCTCTCTCGATGGAACTCAGTTGCGACCATTGCGTTTAGGTAAAATTGTGCCTGCATTCGATTTATTGATGAAACGTGTCCGTCATCTATTTTCGGTATTGCGCAACCAGACAATTATTTTATGCATATTTATTTACATATTCGTTGTTTTCGGTTGCCGTACATTTGCCAAAAACTACAATGGTAAGTGAATTGTGTATGGCGTGTATGGCACTCACACACAATGCATATATGGAAATTATATTTCATAATGGAAAAGGGTGAAAGCGCCGCGCACACGCACACACGCATCGGTAGCATAATTTTGTGAAAATAAGCAAAATGCCAAAGCAAACTAAATTTTCGCAAATGCATTGGAAAACCACAGTAAAACGCAAAATGTAAAATGTATCATTATTAATTTGGATGTCGTCATATTAAATCAGAATCTCGTTTGCTCACATCGACGGGTTTGGTGTTGGGATTTTTGAATGTGTTTCTGAACTGCTTGTAGTCATCACGTGATTGGTACTGTATATGTGTGTGCTGCTGCTGCTGCTCTTCAACTCATCAATTTACACATTTTCGCACGCATAACCAATTCCAGTTAGATATATGAATTTTTTGCATTTTTTTTTTCGGTTCACACATGCAAATGCCAACAAAACTACATCCAGTCCATGAGCTACCTCGTTGGAATTTAACCGACATTTTCCACTCGTTTATGGTAGTGTTTCGTTCACTATGCGGCGAATGGGTTGAATCACTGTATGATTGTAATATGCTGGTTTTGGATGCATCGAGTTTTGTCTATTTTTGTGCTTTGGCACTTATCGGAAGTTTTAGTGTAAGTTATTATTATTTGGTGTGTTGATTTTTTTCGCTCTCTCTCTTTCTCCCCCAAACACTCGCGTTGCCCGGACGGTTCGTTTTTTTTTTTTGTTTTTCAACACTTCATATTGTCTGCATTGTTGAACTGCATACACACAAACATTTTTCACTAGATTTACTAGAGCAATTTCATATTCATATTTTGAACACATATTTTGTATAGATTTATTATTGTAATTTACTTTGTGTTCGGTACGGCAGCTATTTACTGTTTCAATGTTATTGGCGTGTGATTTTGTCTATATGTATGAATGTGAATGGGTTTTCATATTTGTTGTTGTGTTATGAGTGCAGGTATCGGTGTGAGCTGTAAAATTGGCGTGGAATAAAAAAAAAGAGCCGAACGACCGAAATAATCGTGAAATCAACAATAAGCATATTTTGGTTGAATGTCGATGTCGATCGGTCGGTTTTTGCTATTTACGCTCTATCAAATTCGGAAAGCACATATATACACACATGCATTTTCAACCCGATCTGTGCACGCACCGACAGTTTCCATCGAATGGTTAAGTCATGCATGCATAATTCAAAAGACAATTGCCTATATATTTTACTGATACAATCGAATTTGGTTTTGTGTGATTGTATGCAAGCGTGTGTTTTATGTATATGCGTTCTGTATGTAGAGAAGAATTTGTTTGCGAGTGTATTACAAGAATAAAACCGTGCATAGAGGGACGAAATGAGAGAGAGAGAATATCTATATGTGTAATGGCCTTTGTTTGAAAATTTCAAATCATTTATTTTCTGCGTTACAGATAATGCATATATTCGTTGCTCTGATATTGACAAATGACGATTCGTCTGTGCTTTCTTCAATGTCGAACAACATCGTACCAAATTCCATCCCAGAATCTCATGCAAAGCAATCAACTATCAAATCGTCGTCGTCGTCGTCACCGTCGTCGTTGTCGTCCAATAGAAAATTCAATTTGCACATATTCTTGAAGGAAAAATTACTTGAACCGAACATACAAAAGATTTATGGTAAGCTCACTGTAGTGACTGTAGTCAATGGAATGTTTATTAGCGCCCTGGCTTTATGTGCCGCATTTTCCCATTTGTAAGCAGGCACAAAATGAATTCGATCAATTTCGAATTTCATTTGCATTAAAAGAACATCAAGTCCAATCGAAGCGCAGATTAAACAAGTTACGAATTCTCATTCGTTGATTTGTTTATATATCCTCTCTTACTATGGCCTCTCTTATTCTATCTCTTTACTTCGAACGATTTCGTTTCGAATAGATGCAAATAAGCCAATTAAAAATGATATGGAGTCGCTGCCAGTTGATGCACCATCCACAACAATTACACTTTCATCGAATGAACCGGACGATAAGAATCACAGTCAAACTAAGGACAGTAAAAAACAATCGGGTAAGACTGAGATTTTTTCCAATCGAGAAACGATGCAGTGAAAACCAAACAAACAACGAAGAAGAAAAAAAAAACATATCACCCAACGATATTAGAGTTTCCCTCCTCATATAATCAAATGTTCTGTTGAGCTTTCGTTTTCACATTCACATTTTGAAAAATGATTCGTTGTTGTGGCCGTTCTTTGCTTCATTGCGCAATGGTTCTGATGATTGGTCGATTCAAACGAAACGAAAAAAAAAAATCCATTGATCGTTGTTGTTTTTACTTCTCTTTGGTATCCGTATTTTAGTGGGCCGTGCTGATGTAAAAGAAACTGGAGCAAGTAGTGTGGTTGTGAGTGCGCCAGTAGTCACAACCGAAGATGACAATGAGGACGATGCGACAATTAACAAGTGGTCCAAATTTCGCGTTAAAGCATTGAAATTCAATCAAAGCACTTACTTTGGATACATTGTCTTGGCCATCATATTCATTGGTTCAATAGCATTGGTAAGAGACGAATACACATCAATATTGAATCGTATTTCAATTGTAATCGAAAATGGAATTCCATCCGACCAAACTTGGAGTGAGCGAGAAGAACAAGCGGGCTCGAGACAAATGAAATTTAGTATTAATTCGCAATCGCATCAAAAGCAAGCAAAACAACGTTAAAATAGCCTTTCAAGTTAGATAGTTAATGGAATGGAATAAAAAATGACACACAAAATATAGAGAGATAGGGACGGTGGTGGTGCTCAGAAAGTTGCACTTGGTGCGCTGTTTTTGGCATAATAACAAAATACGAATAAAAAAAAAAAAACAATTAGGATCAGGCCAAACAAAAGCGAATGGAATGAATATCGACAAAAAAGCATGCACACACACAGGAGTGAATATATTTTGCGTTTTTGCCTCCTCATGCGATGCACACGAATGCATTGTCTGTGTCATTCGTTCGTGTGCCCTTCTTAAATTAGAACAAAAGCGGGTAAAAAAGCAGAAACAAAATTTAATGAATTTTCCTTGTTTTTTTCTCTCTCTCTCTTCATTTCATTCTGATCCAGGTACACACGGTAAACAGCCTTACACTAGCGGGAACATTACTCGTCGAATTAGCATTTTGTATTGTAATGATTATTGAATTTATATCGAAAACCATATCCTGTGGCTGGAAATCGTATTTCAAAAACATTTGGTGTTTGATCGATTTATTCAATACCATTGTGAGTATTCTCTGTCTCTCTATCTGAGTTCGTCAAGTGCCTTTGTTTCTTCTTCTTCTGTTTTTACTTTTCTACGGGTTACTTTTTTTCTCTCTCTGCATGCAAGTGTTTTATGTGTATCCATGTGCATGTGTGGGTATCACATTTTGCCCAATTGATATTCTTGTAGGTATTTTCATTTCCATTTTCAATTCAATTCATTTCATTTTGGATTTTTATAAATATTTTCGTTCGTTCGCCGTTTTTGTTATTCGTCGTTATTCATTTGATTTGATATTTTATTCGCTTTTGCAGTTCTATTAAAAATCATAATAAATGTGTTGCGAACGATATGAATTTGATGGAGAGTGAGAAGGAAAATGAAAACGATTCGAAAAATTCTTAAATCGCGCACTTCGTTCCATCATACATATATATTCGTGTGTTCGCTCATTTTACTATTTTAATTTATCATTTTGTGCTACAAGTCAATTTCCCATTCATTTCGGCAAATGATTTTTTTTAATCGTATGCAATGCATATATTGACTCCATTCCTCATTTGTTGTAGCATATGCTATCGTTTCTATTTTTTTTATTATAACTTCAAAACTGAAAAATTTGTATTAATTGTTTGTCATTGGGATTTCACGATTTTTCTTCAATGCATAATGAAAATAGGTGCCCATCGTCGGTTTGTTTGCTGTGAATCAGACAATATTGATTTTGAATGCGCTGCGCCCGTTATCGTTGGTGTCACGATGTTCAGGACTCAAGGTAATTCATTTGCAAAATCGCTTTTATATTTGATTTCATTTTTCGTTTTTCCACCAATTTTCTTTGTCGTAATTTCTTTTTATGTTCTCCTTTCGCTGTCGTTCGATTTGCTGGTTATTAATTTTTCAAGACCGATTTTTATGCATACCCTCGCCTCACCACATTTCTTTGATGCTATTGTCATATGTTTGTTTCGTGTCAAGTGAATTTCCATTTCATTTGCGGTTTTTTTTTTCTTTTCTCTTCACATTTTATCGCAAATTAATAGTGAAATGAAGACGGAACAAATTAAAAAAAAAACATATACCAGAAGAAAAAACGCCATCAATCGTAAATTAAATATAGCTATTTTATCGAAGGTTCGACAAACAGTTTTAAATTACAATTGTAATAATTTAAATGGAAACGCAAATTTCTATCCATATGGCTTCGTATTCCATTCATATAACAAACAAACAAACAAAACATCGAATAACCGAATCAATCGAGTATTTAAATCGATTGCAAACAAATCTTTTTATAGTGAATATGGTGACATTTAATTTCTACACAAAGAAAAACAGACAGCAATTATTGCTCATGGAATAATCAAATATTCTTGTATTTATTCATTCTTTTGGTAGATAATTGCGGTGACAGTTGCCCGTCAGGCTCGATTGCTATTCAGTTCAATACTCATTTGCAGCGCATTCTGGTTAATATTTGCAATAATGGGAGTTCAAATGTTTGCCGGCAAATTTTATCAGGTAATTAGTTTAAGCTATTTATTTATTTGCCTAAAAATTCATATTTACTTTCTACACCAACTGCAAAAAAGTCTTTCGATCCATCAAAATCCCCAACATTTTTGCACAACGGACTATATTTTAAGATGTCGTCTAAATCATTCTTTGCGAAATTTCTTATTATTGCTGTCTTGATATCGTTGATTAGAAATGGTAAGCTAAAATCCTAAAAAACAAATAAATTATAAAACAAAGAAATTTCGTCGAATATTTATAAAAATTATATGAGAATGAGTAATGTCTCGTCGTGATAAGGAAAGATATTTCTTTTTTTTGTGCTTAAAACCTTGGTATTTCTGAACATCGATTTTCTCATCAGTCAAATAAATCGATTTTGTGGCGCAACCATTCCATAAAATGCGTCCGTATGTCAATGTCATCTTCGTGTATTCTATTTCTTTTTTGTTATAAATACAAAAAAGATAAAGTAATGTTTATACAGTAAATTGTACAGCTGTTTCTTGCAAAACTAGGAACTGGCAAGAGAAAAACAATTTCATTTTCATTCAAAATCCGTAAATTTGTGTTGGGCTTTTTGATGGCAATGGATATTTTGATTCGGTTATTTTCAAAAGATTTACGCTCAATAGTGCAATTTTTGTGTGTAATCCGAGACACAACGAGCATTGAGCAAATACTATTGAAGACCAAAAAGAGCTAAAAAAGAATGCATGCACACAAGTGATTTTTTCTCAGTTTGCACCCGGTATGCGTAGCTACACAAGTGTATTTTGAACTCTGCTAATATTTTTTTTTCTTTCTCTCCCTCTGATTCAAACCAACACTTACAATTCGCATCCTCAATAATAACAACAATGCTAACACAAACACATGCTATATCTATATGTGTGTATACTATTGTGTCGGCCAATATCCAATTTATATACATGCAATATGCGCGACGCAGTGCGTTGATAGAAATCAAACAAGATTGGGCATCGATTTTGTGGACTCTCGCAATACATGCATTGATAAACACTATGAATGGACGAATTCGGCGGTCAATTTTGACAACGTCATCGAGGCTTATCTCAGTTTGTTGCAAGTGGCTACATTTAAAGGATGGATTCGAGTCATTCAAGACGCCGTCGATTCACGGGTAAGTCGATCACTCCACTTATACACTTTTCCACTTTTCACCACAGACAAACGGTTTTATTGCGGTTTTTCACTTTATCCCTCTATCTCGCTCCCTCTATTCGCTGTGCCACACGACGCCTTACACCGAAAAATACAAAATGGGCTTGTGGTCAGTTTACATTGCATTTGAACGATTTTGTTAGATTTCAGTGGATTTTTTTTGCACAGTTTCTTCGTAACAGTTGTTCCTTTTTTGCGAATTTTTTTCTTCATGTTCATCCTGTTTAAAGTATATTAAAAGTGATTATCGTGTATGCAAACAATACAAAAATCAAAAAGAAAGTTTGCAACAAGCTTTTGAATGTTTACCTTTAAGAAGAGAGAGAGAAAAAAGGAGGATTGAACGATTTGAATTGCCATCGGGGAAATTTCAGTGCAGTTCACATACTTTCTTCTCGTTTCCCTTTTTCGCATATTTTGTTGCAACCTTTTTATTTTAGATATTGTTTTTTATACCATTCGCATGAAATTTTCTTATCATTTTTTGTTAGGTTGTTTGGCTTTCAGCTACTTCATTCTCTTGTTTTCTATGGACGTTGTTGACTTCGTTTTTTCGCTTTCTTCATTTTCTTTAAGAGAAAAAAAAAGAAGAAGAATGAAAAATGCAAACGAGAAACTAACTTTCAATTGCGTCAAACACAAAAATCCATACATTTATTAAAGTGACTTTTCTTTAGAGCTATTTTTCATCTCAATTGGCTTGGTGCTCAGTTCAACAAAAGCCATCTTTGTGTGCGTGACGTCGGAGTGGGAGAGAGGATGAAAAATTCCTGCAAAATGGTTAATTAAATTTTGCAACTTTATGAAAGCCAAACTATTGTGAGACAGAGTGTGTGTGTGTGTGTTTGTGCTCCAAATTGAGATGTTCATCGTGTTCATTAGTTTAAAGTGTATTCAATGTATTGTCGACTTTGATTTCGGTAAAGTAAATAAAAGAGCAACACGCTTCGCTGAAAAAGAAACATATTTTTACGTATAAATTACACAGATTCAACGATCTAAAGGAGGAGCACATACACACAAAACATTATTGTGGATTTTTCTAAAGGTTCTTGAATATTCACACTAATGAATATCCATTTTGAAATTTTTCGAGTGAAGCATTTTTCTCTACACTTTTCATGTTAAAATAAGATGCATAATTTACAAAATGTCTGGCATTTTATGTTTATCTTATTCGTTTTTGATGTACGCTTCTATTATCGATTTTAAAAAGAAAAATGATATTACCACATTTGCATTTTATTGTAATTGTGTTTTATCTGGATTTCAAATTATGCAGCCCAAAATCAATCAAATGCAATGAAAATAAAACTCTGCCGATTAAAAAAAAAGATATGTAAACAAAAAAGTGGTTATGTAACGCCACCTAACATCGAATAGGTAACCAGTAATGTATGTATGGTAATACCATTAAAAATTACGATACAAAACGTTACAAATGCTTTTTTTCCCATAAAATATTTGTTATTTGTTGTGATTTTGAATATTTTAACACTTTCAAACTTATATAAATGTTTGAATTACAGGAAGTTGATTCTCAACCACTGAGAGATGCCAATCTCTACATGTTTCTTTATTTCGTTATTTTCATCGTATTTGGGGTGTTCATCTGTGCAAATTTGATCATCGGAATTCTCATAAAGCATATTTTAAATGTGGGAAATTTAAGTGATGCATTTGGTTCGTCGAAAAAATTGTCAACAGATAGATTAAGCCAAAATGGATCAAACAATGGTGAAAGGGCTCATGATGTATCGGTAATTAATTCAAAATATCCTCTCAAATCAACATTATTTTTCTTCTTTAAATTCCAATAATATTCCAGACTGCATCGAAACTGGCGATGTTAGCGCGAAATCAATACTTTGATTGTGTTGCATTTGCGATATGTTTGTTCTACATTATAAGCCTTGCCTTCGATCAGTACCAAATATCTGAAAAATATGCCAATACCATTCAGTACATTGATTTGGTGTGTGCGGTGTTATTTATGATTGAAACAGCGCTGCGTTTGAATTCATTGCGACGCATATTTTTATTAAGTTTTTGGAACTTTTACGATTCGGTTACAGTGATACTGCTATTGATTGGTAAGTTTGAATCAATTCCTCTATCCACTAAATCGAAATTTATCTTGCGCCATTCTTTTATTGCATACTTTCAGAACTTTTTATGATTGAATTTGGTCGTGTGAGCGTTCTATCTGTTAGTTTATTGCGTGTAATTCGAGTTCTTCGTTTCAATTCACTTCTCGTTACATATTCGCCGGCACTAAATTTAAGCTTAAAGGCATTACGTCGTTCAGTAACCGCTGCTTACAATCTGTGCCTGTTCCAATTGTTGGTGATTTTTGTGTATACGTTGATTGGTGTGGTTGCATTTAAAAATGTGCCAAATGTTATTTTGATCAACGATAAAATTTCATTCAAAACGGCCGGACGAGCTATAATTTTATTGATTCAAATAAGCACCACTGCCGGTTGGGATGGCATTTACGACGTTCTAGTTGCAGATAATCACTTCAATCCGTTCGTTATCTTCTTGTATCTTTGGTCATTTTTATTCATTTGCATTTTGACAATTGTTAATTTAGTGCTTACGATCGTTCTTAATTATTATTCGGAAGCGCATCAAATCGAAACCGAATCGAAACAATTACATAGCAACGATTTAATGGATTTCAACGAAAAATGGAATACACTGGCATCACCAAATCAGCCGATTTTTATCAATAAAGCACAATTGCCCATTCTATTAAATCGTCTCGATACATCGTCAGCGTTACGGGCAAGTGTCATTCCAAATGAAGAGAATATTCAGCTGTTGGGAATACCGGTGCAAAACGACGATCAACTTTATCGTGGCGACGTTCTGATTGCGTTAAATAAGAATCGATTGAGACAAATGCAAGCTACCGTCAAGAAATAGTCGATTACAAATTAGCTGAACGTGACCTTACTTTAAGACATTCGCACAAATTACATAAATAATTACCGCACAATTTATATATTTCCAACGGGAACCAATCTCTTGTGGGGAGTTTAATTTTAATATATATAAAAAAAAACAAAATTGTTATTTTTACTAGTATATTTTCTAACGTTGTCTTTTTATTGCATATTTTTATACAGCTAAATTGACATTATTCTAGTTTTGAAATTGTCATCAAAATGCGATCGCATTTAATTACTATATCTATCAAAAATAATAAAGACAAATTTGATCAATATAAACTGATGCATTCCTGATTGTTAATTTTTCGATTTTTGTTTGGAATACGTAAAGTACCAATTGCGAAACGAAATAACTATTTGTTTTAGATAAAAAACAAAAATACTTAATTAAAGCCTAGATTTAAGCTGCTTGTCACGAAAAAAAATTCTCAATTCCAATTTCCGCCATTATGAATTGCTTTAAGAGAATGATCATTGTCTGTGTGATTCAAAAAAATCAAAAATTGATTTCGATTGCATTCATCGATCAGACGCAAAACATCATACAAAAAAAAGAATGCGATCTTCTTCTCAAACATTTCACAAAAGTGGAAGATGTGCTCGAAAATGATCCGTGTCTGAGCCGTGTGTTAAAGTAAACAAAAAGTGATAAAAAAACGGAAAAACATATTTTATCAACTAACAAGAGAACTTATAACCAAATCAAAAAGCTTCCAAGCAACAAGCCTAGACTGAGCAACACCGGTGATGAAAGATCCAAACCAAACATCCAATTAATTCCGGTGCACAATTTGTATGACCACCAAATCATTATTGCTAGTCCAATGTATTGCAAAGTTTTGAATCTGAAAAAGAGAATTTATTGTTAAAATTAAAGGTTTCAACGAATCGGTCGTGTCACATAAATTCGAGTAAACATTTACTTACATTGCGTAAATGATGGCATGTTTTAACGATGTTTCGCCTTTTTCTCTGAAATAGTACCGTCGTACACCAGAGAAGTTGCGTTCAATCATTTCACTCCAATCGATATCACTTGCGTCAAACTTATATCTGTCCATGTCTTTAGGATGCATCAGTGTTCCAATGCGCATCGCATTCTTCGTCGAATATTGGAAGTTTTTATTCAAGAAAAAGTGGAATGCTTTTATACCTTTGTTGAAAATACGCATGAATTCCAAACTCCTGTTTTTTTTTTCGGTAAAAAAAGTCGAAACAATTAATAATAAGGAAGTTGAAGTTTTTAGTTATAGAAGTGTTTGATATACATACGTGTGGTGTTTGATGCCAAGGCCCAATAATTTTTCTGGCCAGTACCAAAGCATCGTCGGTAAAATTTGGAATAAATAAAAGTACACGGTATACCGTAGACCATTACGAATTTTAGCGCTTGGAATCCATACCATTGTTTGACTGGGATGTACACGAACTCGATCATTTATAATGTCTGTGTACTCTCCCAATGTGATTGGATTCACATCGCCCGATGTCGAATGAACTACTTCGGGCAACTCTAATTTTCGTGTTCCAACATACCAGCCCAGCACAAGTGAAGCATTTATAGTGTAATCGACCGGTATAAGATCGATCTTTGATTGTGAATTACCATAAATTGTACGGAATAAACCTGAAAATAAATTTGATTTTAGCTCATTATGTTATGTCGATTGATTCCGATTATTTTTAAAAATAATAAAACACAAATTTCTCATATTCACCTTTGTAATAGCCGGCGAAAAATCCAAGATGACCGCTGCTTGCGTTGCCAACCCAACCTTCAACGGGATACTCATACGTTCCATAAACTAAACGAAAAAGAGAGAGAGAAAAGAGCAAAAACTCAGCGTTAATTACATCACAAGCCATTTTGAGAGCATGACGAATGCATTGGAATCCGTGCAGTGCGTTTTACGCATAATAATTCACACACCGTGAACACTAACCGATCGAAGGTCGTACAATGGCAGCAGGGAAACCAGCCAACTCTTTCATTACTAAATTTTCCGCCAATTGTTTCGTAAATGTATATGTGTTTGGATGATCTTTTGTTATGTGCAACCAATCTGCGCGTGCTTTAATATCATTCCAAGCCTCATTGTTTTCGGCCATTTTCAGCATATCGTATGGATCTTGAGCGGGTGCATAAACTTTTTCTTCTAATAAACCACCATAGTTACTATTACAAAATGCCGTCGATAAATGCACAAATGCGTCCAATTTTTTTAAACTTTTTCCGAATTCAATGCAACGCATTGTGCCCGTTAAATTTGTTCGAATCGCTTCACGTAAATGCGTATTGAATTTAATTGTGGCAGCAACATGAAAGATTATATTCACATTTTCACGTAATTCCTTTAATATTTCATCACTGAAACCCATATTTTCGGCATCCATCACACCAACAACCGGTACAACTTTTTTCAATGTTTCGGCGGAATGCGATTGGAAAATCTGAAAATAAGTCAAACACACACAGACACATTGTTATTAATATACATGCATTGATCATAATCGACGAAAATGAGAGTACTTCAAAAGTAAATGTAAATTTCGACGAGATTTACCTGTTTTGATAATAATCGCTTGATTCGTTCGCGTGTGTCTGAGCCATATTTATCGCGTATAAGTAGATAAATCGTTCCAATTTTTGGTGTCGATGTCAATAACGCTTCAATAAGTACAGTGCCAAGAAATCCAGTACCACCTGTGATAAAAACACTCTTTCCCGCATAAAATTCCGCGATGCACGGTTCACTCACTTCATTATTATTTAACGCCATTTTTTTTCTCTATTTTCTTTTGTCAATTTTCACTGATTATTCCGTCCGACTTTTATAATTTGAGTTCGGTAACAATAATATTCACTGGTCAATGGTCACTGATGAACTAAAAGAGAAAAACAACATAAATTTCGATCAGTATGTTACAATTTATGGCCTTATTTAATTTCTATAGTTTGATCCAAATTGCACCAATAAACTTATTAAACAATCACGACCTGAACAAACAAAAGACCTTATTTCTACAGTAATTGTATTTATGTTTCGATGACACATCATTTTAAAAACTTCCGCGTATTTTTTAGCATAAATGTATACCAAGAAAAACCGTGACAAATTTCAATTGTATATTGCTGACTTCACGTTCAGTTTTTTTCGGGTAATTCTCATAAAAAACCAAATCGAAAAATATGATGAATTTGATTTATATCCGCATCGTTTGCTCTTTGTCGTTAGGCAATTTCTCATTAATTTTTTTTTTGTATTATTAGATTGAAAAGATGTGAAGCAGAAAAATAGCTAAAAATGATTTTGTGTGAATTTGAACTCGAATTAAAAAAATTGTCTACAAATGAGATTTTCAACAATTCGTAAGACTATTTACATTATCGTTATGATCGCAACAAATTATCAATTGCGTTGATTTATTTACAAATCCATTGAACTTTATGTATCTATGCCCATTTCATGTAATTGCGAAGCATTGACTGTGAATTTTCTATGTTTCCATCTGGTATTTATTCACATAACACCATGAGACATGTGGATAGTGTAAAATGATTGTGATGCGCCACTATTCTTCGTACCGGTTTTTATGGTGATCGATCGTTCAGAACCAGATTTGTCTTAGAAACACCCGAAAAAAAATTCACTACAAATTTAAAATTTATTACGATAACCAGTCTCTGAGTTTTTCACATTTTAATCAGGTTATTGTAAAGAATCGAAAGTTTTATTACGAAACCAGAGTGTTTGACATCAAGTGAGAATATCGAAAGAAAATGAAAAAATTTGATACACGCCTCATCTAAGACGAATGCAAAAGGTGAATGAAACATGGAATAGAAAGGGATACAATGACAGAAAGATAATAAAAAAAATCACGGTCAATGGTAATAACTGTGCACGTTAATTGTATCAGTCTGTCACACAACACAAACATACACATACATGATTCGAAACAATGACTTGAGGGCAATCACTTTATAATCACTTTTTGTTTTCAAATTTTGTCGAACTACCGTTTTCGTTTGGCATTTTCTGAATGTCGTTCATAAAACAAAAGCAACACTGTCTGCAGCTGGTACACACAACCAATTAAACTATAGAAAAATAATGATTTGGTGACAATTTCAAAGCGATAATTTGTCTTTTTGATATATCCGCATCTTGCTATTACGATGCGATGTGAATTTGTCTATGGCCATAGATTTTCAGGGTTATCGACAATCTCAATTGACGAAGACTTAATTCTGAAATGCGACCACAATTTGGATGCGGAAGGTCTTTGATGTTTTTTGTTTAATTTTATTTTTATAATTCTGCCTCTATTAAAAATAACAATCACAATTTATTCTTTGACAAGAAATGAACCATGCGCTTAATGGCAAAGCAATTAAATGAGCCAAAGAATGAAGATGAGATGTACGTGTACGGACACGTTGTCAATAAGAAACTGTGAGCTGAGTGAAAGGATCTACGAATTAATGTTAATGTTACAGTTTGTCAAATCATTTGGAAAAACCATGAAAAATGCTAATGCGCGATCGGTGTATTTGCTTCGGATGGGAGTCTACCAATAAGAAGTCAAGGCCGGAAGTCTGCATAAAATGAGTCAATCTTTAGAAGCTGGAACAAAGGCACTGCCTTGACATTCATTATCAAACGTGTGTCACAAGAATTTGCTGAAAATATTCACAATTGTGAATTCATGTTTGTATTATAGTGTAATTCATTGGGAAACTTTGGAAAAAAATCGGATCATTGTGACACAGCATATTTGCATGCCTAAAATCGATTTCATAAGCAAACGCAATACGCATATTTTTTTTTTTTGGAGAAATGAGCACACTTTAATCTTGTTCGGTAACCGCAGTGATTCCTCCATTTCCATATCAATTTGAATTGACAATTTATTGGAATATTTAAATTTAAATACGATCAATTTTCCATATCGATTGCAATTGATATTCGCAATTCATTAGCTCACATTTGACGCAATGACATTGAAAATATTGTTGAAACAATCAAGTTGATGGCACGTTTGACCGTTGCACATATAAATCGTGAATATGTTGTTTTTTTTTTGTTTCGTTTTCATTTGATTCGCATGCGTAACACTTTTCATCTGCTGAAGGCCTTCAAAACATTTCATATGACGTTCCTCAATTTTCAAATTTTGAAACGCCTATTGACCTTAGAAAAAAAGCGCACCTCACGCTGCCATGATTAATTTGAAACGCCGAGAAAAAACCAAAGCGAGTGAGAAAGAAGAGAGAAAGAAATCAAGACATTTTTACCGTCTGAAGATGATTATGATCGTCTATGTATACGATGTATGTGTTCAGTTGTGAGCCTCATTTAGATGCAAGCAATATAATTACTGAATGCTTGAAACACATTTTAATAGCAATGGTATTATTGTGAAAATAAAAATTTCAATCGAAATTCATGTATTGCAAAATACACATATGTTTCGTTCATTTCAAGCGTATTCATTTTTCCCGGTTTCTTCTTCATCATCTTCTTTTCTTTTTCATTTGTACAAAACGCATCACAGTGACTTTACTATTCGAATGAGTGTTGCCATCACTTCTTGAATGAGTGTAGCTTTTTTGAGTGTGTTGATTCTTTATCGTCTGAAATGTTTTGTTGTTTTTTTTTGGTCGAATTTTTTGTTTTGAGTTATAAAATATCAACGAACTCTATGAACATGTAGTGCTAAATCTTAATGGCAAATAGTCAGATTTTTTTGTTGTTGTAGCGAACATTTTTCTTCACAAACGTAGATAACCGAAAAAATTGTGTTAAGGTTAAGGTGCGTGTATTGATAATCGCATGCTATCATTGACACATGAATTCGCGCATTAATTGACTTAACACGACATTTTATTTTATTTATATTCAAATTTCGGTGTGGTGTTGTTATCAAAAAAAAAATCATAAACCAGTTTTTCTATTACGCGACAAAAAATTTCATTCGCTCAAGATCTAAAATATGCATGCGAATTTAAATGATTTAAGTCGATGATAAGACATTGAACGTAAGGGTCATTTTTTGTGATTATTCATCGGCAGCCCATTCTATTGTCAATGTGTGCCATTCAAAAATGGAATTTGAATACAAGCCCACAGTATTGATGCGATGGCGACGACGACGACGACGACGATGGAATCAATTGAAGGTTCAATTCATACATGAAAAAAACATTTATCGAGCAAATGCAATAAATAAATGTAAAAAAGTTCATGATATTTTGTGTAATTGTCGATATAATAAGATAACTCAAAGGTTTTGCATCCGGTTTAAATTGCATTATTTTCATTGCATCTTCATTTACGATTATTATTTTTCATCGCATAGGCTTGATGACATTTTCTTCTTTAGTTCTTGAATAAACATTAAGAAAAAGCAATCATTATTTGGAAAAGAAGAGATGTTGATATTTAAAAGTAAAATGTCAATTATTTCGCGTGGATTAATGTGCACATTGCAATGTTGGTTGAATCGCACGTATTCTCTTCTGATAAAGATAACAAATAAATTCTTGTTCCTCAATTACACTTCGAGCATCGAGCATTGAAATGGAAATGCCAATAACATTTTTATGGTGTTTGTTCTGTAAAATGTTTAATTGATGACCGGTTTTTAGCTATTTCAAATGCAATCATCAATGTTTCTTTTGCTTGATGTATCATCAAGTTTTAAAACCGTTTTCGATTTGTTTGCAAGAGCCCTTGAGCTATCCACGTGAAACCTTTCTATTGAAAAATTCATCCAGAAAAGTGATTTTCTTTGAAAATGGGATATTTTTTTTTTAAATTGTTCAGATTCTATATTTTGAAATGCTCTTTTGAAAAAACATAGCCAGAATACTCAATTAAACTTATGAAGAGTATCTCTAGTACAACAAAACACGAAATTTCTGTGTATTTTCATGAATTTTCAGATAAAAATAACTATAATCGTGTTCAAATTCTACGATTTTGATTAAAAATTGCTCAGTTTGTCGGCGCAAAAATATTTTTTTTAAATTTAAACTCGTTTCCATATCAATACATTGTACCCAGTAAATTGTACTTACGTATTCAAACGTATCTTATTCTTGGGCCTTGGCTTTGGGTCCAAATCTTACGCCGGTCATTCAAGTTCAATTATTTTTTATTATTGATCGTCAACTCAGTCATTTGATCATGTGCATCTGCAGAAGTTAATCATATTTTTTTTCGATGTTTAAAATTTCAATGCTAGTTGATCTGTCAATGCATGGCAATCAAAATTTGATCCACGATCTTAAATTCATAATCATGGCTATTTTAATGGATTAAATGGCAGCGTTATAAAATTATATAGTTATGAAGAGCAAAAACAAACAAACGGCCACGACAAGCAATCTCACATGTTATTTGCAATGAGCGCTCGCTCACATGGGTGTAAAACATGAAAACATTCAATGGAGATGTCAACTTAGCACTTGATTTGCGTTTAGTTCGTGCGTTTTTTCTTCTGTCGTTTTCAACTTGTATCGTGTATGCATATATCGGGTTTGCGTTACCAAGGTCAGACCAGCAGAGAAAAAAAGAAAACACAGAGAAAAAAAATGCGTGGAAAAAACTGAATACCGTATGTATGGATGTAGAAACGATTGGGAGCAAACAAAAAACCGAAAATCCACAAGTAAACAAAACGCTGTGCTTACGTTCGTACTTTTAAAACTTGAATGATGTGAACCGTTTCATTTTAAGTGCTCGCTATGTTCGTGTGCGATTTTATGATGCGATAAACAAAATTCAAACTTAATAGAGATGCGATGAATCACATAAATGCCGATTAAATGATTAAGTTTAATTATCGTTGTGTGCGCAATACGAATTACGCATACCAGAAAGACCAGTGCCAGTTGCTTGAGCAATAACATTTTCTTCCGACGTGTGCATGATCATGATTTTAAAACCTTCTAGAATTTTATTCAAATTCGAATTATTGAATGCTTAGAATTGGTTTGGTTAAATAAAAATAAACAAAATCCGGACATTCAATTCACTCTCAAATTATTTGCCCGAGAAAAGTGAACAAGCAGTCAAAGAGACTCTCATCGCAACTACATTTCACAATTGAAAGTAAGATCATTCAAGGTGTCTGCCGTGCACTGGGTGCTATTTAAATATACTCACACATGAATAAAATACAATGTTGTGATACCATCTATAATAACCGATATTGTTTTTGTTTTCAACTACAATGTGGTACATTCGACTTTAAACTGAACATTTTCGAGAAAAATAAAATTTATTTTTTTTTATTTTCATTTAAACGATGTTTACTGTCTGGACTACATTCATTTGTTATAACAATAAAACTATTTTTGATTTTGAGTCGATTTTCGATTCGAAATTAATGATGTTTTGATATTTTGTGATGCGCACAGTTTATTTTAAGAATATTATTTGACCATTAAGTGTTTTTAGTTTCTATCGTACGTCTACACGGCAACTGATTTATCAATTTGAAAACGTTATTTTTTTTTTATTTACTTAAAATTGCATAACTGTTATTTGTCTGTTGCTTTATTCGACTTACTCTTTTCTTTTTTGTAGTCCACTTGACAGATTTTCTTTTAAAAAATTCCAAATAATTTCACTGTATTTATTTTGGAATGAAAAGAAAAAATTCGTTGAAAAAGAACACACATCAAAATCACACAACAAAACACTTAAAAATTTAAATTCCCTCACTATGGTGTTCGAAGCACAATGCTGTGTCGATTGTGTCTTGTATTCTTTGATAACTCTGTTTGTTGACTAATTTCCTCAGCCTCAAGATCAACGTGTTTGCTTGCTTGCGCAGCAATTCATTCTCTTCGACGTGAACGTGAACCTTTTCTGCCGTTCAAGTCTTTCTCTCCCTTCCCAAAAACTTATTTCGGCGTATAATTCATTGATCGTAAGATCAATCTGGTTGTTTCATACAGTTGTTATCGCTTACGAATCGTATCTGAATGAAAAAGAGATCTCCATGTTCATAACAAGACTCGTATTATATGGAATCGGTTGTTTATCGTCTCGGTCGCGTATACGTAACTCATTCAAAGCTAGTTGGAAAAGTGTGAATCGATACAACAAAGCTAAATCAAAATTATAGCCACGCATAATTTATTAGTAAAATTTAAAATATTCGGCCCGGCAACAACGATAATTTTTTTAAAAAGTATTCTTAGCAATCGAACCGAGTTGTCAACGATACAAAATACAATTGTACATAATATAAAGAAAACCATCAACTTTCACATCGATTTTAATTAAATTTATCGCATTTTTTCCGTTCGAACAATTGTACATATTTTCTCGATGTAAGCATTTGTTTGCTAACGGTGACATTCTGTATAATTGGCTAAATAACGGCTGTGTTTTTGAAAGAAAACACGAAATTTTGTTTTCTTTCAAAATTTCGTGTAATTCTGAAAACAAAACTCATTCAGATTGAACGGTTTGTTGATGATTCTGGCAATCAAAACGGGTTACTAAAAACTTGTAAATCTTGAATAAAATACAGATCGATGTTTTGGAATATATTCTAAAAAAGATTAAAAAAATGTTAAATTTATAGCAACTCTCTACTTATTTTACTTGACAAAATTTTCAGTTCGATTTAATTCCATGTGTAATGATAATGTGAATGTATCAGATGGTATGGTTAAATCTTGTTAATTGACAATTAATTAATTATTGTTTTAAAAAGAGGTGTTACAACAATCTTTCTTGTTGGTAAACAATGTTTACTAAACATATTCAAGCTAAACGATTGCGACTAATTGATGTGCAAATTGAATTAACACCAAATTAATATTCAAACAATTTTGACATGTAGCTTTGCTTGCACTTAACGTATGCCGAGTCGTTCTGATGCACAAATTAATTGGATAAACATTTTGAATGAACAAAGGCACACTTGCAGCATAACGATTGCGATATGAAAACCGAACACCGTTTAATTTTCAAATCATGGTCAAATAAAAAAAAAAAAAACAAATTTTTATTTCTTTCATGGAGTATTTTAATAAAACAGATTCTATGCCGTGAGATTTCATCACTTGTATGCATTTAACTCCATTATGTTTGGTGTGAAAGTGAATAAATCATCGAATGTTATGGGTTACAAAAACAAAATGAAGTTACCAATCAAAATAGAGTGTACCCTATACCATCGATGAATCATCATCATTCAGTTAGTCATTACACATGCGGTGTAAGCGAACTAATTGCATTTTTCTCTTTCGAAGCTGGTGAAAACAGCCAATGGCCAGTTAGAAAAAGGGTATGCAAACTATTTACGAACGAGAAGTGTTTGTCCATGTGTTTTTATGCACATATATGTTACTATGCATGTATATGTGCTTGCGTTGAGTTGGAAAAATTGCTTCCCTCTTATAGAACTGTGTTTAATTACAGCATTTGTGTTTGCGCGTTCAAAAAATGTACACACACATTTTGACCGTTGTAGATTGTGGCAACAACCCCAATAGAGTCAATATCGGTGTATATGTATGTGCATATATACGAAAGAATATCCATTCACTTTCATTTGAGCTCGCATATCAAATACATGCAAAGCGATGCATAGAAATATTTCTCTCATTCTCATTTATCCAGTTGAAAGCTGAAAGTGTGAAACGAAGCGACAACAATGATTCAGGGGATGGTGTACGGTCCATTCAAACACAAGCATACGCGCGCGCGATAAAAGTATTGTTTTTACATCTTCGAAAGGCATTAACACATGCACGCACACACACACAAGCATCCATGCATTTGGTTGTATTGTTTCGACATTCGGTACCACCATCCCGTCCGTTTTCGTTCTCGGCTCAACTCATTTAATTTACCATCCATCGTCTTTTTGCCTTATGCAGCCTTTTTTTAGCCAACCGAAATATATTACCGAACGCCGATGCCGCTACCAGTTTTCCAGTACTCTTGTTCTATTGATACATTTACTTCTTTATGCGCACGTTCGCCTCATATATACATATGATTGTGTGAACGCGGAGCATAGTTAATGAAAGTGGATTGCTTATTTGTTAGGGTTAAATAGTATGCAAGAGAGAAGGAGAGGCAAAGCGAAACAGCATGAACAACTTAGAAAAGGGATAAAATTCTCATTTAGGCCATTTTCAGCTAGAAGCTGAAGTAACATACTGGAGGGTGTGCAATGCATTCTTTGGAAAATGTGTACATTTCATCCAATCGCAATGATTATCGCCGCCTACTCCGGTGACAGTAATTAATAAACATTTTTGGGGTTGCATTTTTTTTTTGCTTTCTTGCTTTTTTTATGGTTTCTGTCACTCTTATCAACAATATGCATGGGTGTACAAGAAGTTTAATGAAAACACAGTGGTATAAGAGAGACATAAAACATTGACTTCATGTCTAATTATTATTAATTAATACTGAATATTTATGTTAATGAATTTTTAACAAGACAATTCGAAAAATTCTATCATGTGGGTGGCTTATGAATTAATTATTATTATGTGAGTTACATAATAATTAAAACCTGACTTCTCTTACGGACCAAAAAGAAAACAATTTTCTAGAAAAACGGACACTGTGGCAGAAATTACTTCTTTTTTTAATATTCTAGGCAAAGTTTGCTGCATGGAATGGTAGATTGAATAGGGGTATAAAATACTTATTTTAAATTCATTACAATAGCCTTTGGCGAAATTCTCCATATTATCATTATTTATTTGCTTTTATAGTCCAATTTGTCTGTGAATATATAATATAATTTGGGTTTGCTTGAAACAATTTCCTTTTTTGGCAATGCCATATGGCATCGTTGCAGTACATGTGGCCAAAAATACTTGCTGGTTAATTTCTTTTAATATTTGATTTTGATTATCAAAAATAATTATTTGGCATGTGACATCTCTTAGCAAAACGTTAAACGTTACTGAGTCGTTTCTATCACAGAGTCTGTGACACACAGACTATCCACTTCATATGAAATAAATATTCTCTATCACATAATTAACATTGATTATTTCATTTTCATCATTATGGATTCAAGTTTTCTTTCGTTTTCTTCCGTTTCAGTCATGGTGAATGCAATAGCACCGAAACTTAATTAAATGCTGATACAATAAAGGTGAGAAAAAACCAAATTGGTCAATTGAAAGCTCTTTGTTTCTTATTAAATGACATCAAAGTCATAATTTATCTGTGCATCTGTTTGTCTTTGTATGTAATATATAAAATTGAAATATTTCCATTTGAAAATAATATCTTTAAAGAGTTTCGAAGTTAAAATGCCATCTGTGTTTGAATTTCTAAAACACATTCTTGTAACATATCTTTCTTTGATAGGTTTTTTTTTAATCGTAGTTTTTATTCCACATTTCCTGCTTCAGTTATGGAATTCTCTGAAATATAATTTAATACATTTGAATCATTTTTTTGATTGTCTCCACTATTCATTAAAATAAATTCACTCAACATTTTTTATTGAAAAACATATGATAAAATAAAGGAACCGATAAAAAGAAATAAATTTAATAATAAAAAATATTTATATCATTCCACTTCGCCGTTTTCGAAGATAAATAACGGGTTTAAGCTGAATAATAAAAAGTTTGTCATTGAAACTGCAATGCCTCATATTTGGTTTGAGCACAAACGCTTTTTGGACTTTAAAATACGAGCAGTGTGTTGTTTCTATGTCGCTTTCTTAACTTTAAATGATAAGTCACACGATGGCGCTACACGTTTTCTCAGCTTCCATATGATAGGAAGAACTTTGTGTCTAAATAGGAAGATGACGTTGAATAGATATATCTAGAAGCTTTTCCATGTGCTTAAAATTGACATTTATTCTGCATGTAAACCAGTCACAAGTGAGTGTTTTGTTTGTTTGTGTGACTTCTGTCATTCGGTTATTGAATACACATACAATTACAAATCAAAGTGAATAATAAATAAATATACATTGCATGTGTTAAAAATCAAAACATGAAAAATACGATAAAAATTCAAGTGGATTAACTTTCATCTTTGCAAACTTAACAAAAATTTCGAATCGTCTATCACATTTAAGTTGGATGGTCTAATTTTTTCGAATAAACACATTGATGTGATTGTTGTTATTATTATTTTTTTTCTTCTTCTCATTTGTGTTGGAAATTGAAAGAAAAAAAATCACAGTATAGACGACTGACAGTGGAGAGAAGACAAGAGAATCATATAATCGGCATTGCGTCGCAAATCGCAGTCGACAGTTTTGCAGTGACAATTGTGCAGGAATAAACCGTTTATGTGATTAATAATCACTGATTACATTACAATCATCGTTGTTTAAATATAGATATTTATTTCATTTGGTATTCAGTTTCAAATAGACAATAAAAACTGAAACAAAGTCATTCAGATAGAAGGGCATTGTTTATAATAATTGAGTTAAAAAAAAAACATACACATCAAGTGCAGTGATACGGTGGCGCTAATTCGGTACAAAATTTCGGTCCAAAAAAATTGAAACGCAATAATAAAATGCTGAAAATTTAATACGATACCATTGCCCAAAACGATCAACACACATAGAAGAATTATTTTAAAAAAAGCACATTTTAGTTGAGAGTGAAAGCGAATAAGGAAAAGAAAAAAGAATACTATAAATTCAAGGTGAAAATAATCTATCAGAGTCTTCTTTTGAGTTGTTTACCGCGTGAACCGGATTTCTTACTGGAAAGACACACGAAAAAAAAATATATAATAATAAACGGAAGAAACCTTTCAGGATTTTACTTGGAAAAAATTGTTCGATTTTGTTTTTCTTTCGTTGTTTATCTTCGGCTATAATTGAACAACGCGAGCCAGAGAGAGCGAGATAGCGTCAAAAGAACAATTGTGCGTTTTTAATTTAAAAAAAACAATAGTTTTTGGAATATTTTGTGTCGTCAAACTGTGGTGTTGTGAATCTGTAGGTGTTCGTGTTTATTCGGCGCCATTTCTCGCAGTTTCGCAATCATCGTGTGTCATTTGTTGACGTCTTCACGTGCCGAATTGCTGATATGTTGAATTGTACACTCCGATTGAGCGGCCGGATTGCAAATCATCGCAATTGTTTGAGAAAGTGTTACGTGAAAAATAACAACAATAACCACAACAATAGTCAAAATACAAATTGCTGCTACTATAGCTTCAGTGGCATCGGTATCGGCAATGGCAACAGTAATCTAAGCATAATCAATTTCGAGGACAAAAGGTAAACGAATTCATTTGAATTTAGTTCCAACAACAACAACAGCCACAACAACATTGCCAATAATAGTCAAGCAAAGAAAAAAAAACATAACATTAACACACCAAACGCACGCCAAAACATTTACATCACTAAATGAGCGAACGTACACTCAGTTGTGTGTGAGAATTGCCTGATTGAACAAGCGAGAAAAAAAACACAAAATAAAATAATAATGAAGCAAAGCGAATAAAAAACAACACACGAATAAGAAAAAGAAGTAAAAAATATACACACGAGTGATGCGAGTGTTGTGTGGTTTGATGGGAAATCGTGTGGCAATTGGTGGAAGTGAGATAGCATCAAAATACTGTATGCACCGTGCATATCTTCAAACATATGTCAAAACACAAGGCAACAACAAGATCTGATTAAAAACGGAAAAATTAATATACACGAATAGATTGAAAGAACTGCAAAAAAAATGATCAACAACGAATCGAGAAATTCACGTTTAACCGTATAAAGCAATAATGTGAACTTTTTTTTCGTGCGGCTTTATGCATTAAAGTGATTTGAACATCGACACAGAAATTTCTAGTTTTCGTTTTTTTTTCTGCGTTTTGTTGTTGTTTGATGTTTTGATGCAAGGCAATACGCGCTTCGATCGAGGAAATAAATTTGATGATTTTAGAATCACATGCATTGCATGCGATATGAAAATATCATGATTTTATTACAAGACACAGACACAGCACACACATTATACCTACACTTATAGCTGGTATTGTGCGTACATACCTGACATGACTTTTGTATATAATATTGAGCGCGGACAAGTTTTCCAGTTCAATAAAAATCGAATTTCATTGATCACTAATTATATTATTATTCGTATTTGAGTTGATTGTATTCGCTGAGGGCAATGCAGCTGTGTGTATTTTTTTTTTCATCCACTTGAATATAATTAAAGATAAAATTGACATTTTTTTTCTCGTTTTATTGTTCATAATTAAATTGAAAAACTGCATTTAACTTACTTCCTCTGTTTTCTCTCACTCTCTCTCCTCCCAGCACACATTGCAGATCGCACAGTTCTTGGCCACCGAAAAATCATTTGGATAGCTCTGGGTCGGCGCGTACATCAACAACGGCTGTTTTACCTGACGAGAAAAAAATTGAACAACACGAACGATTGTATGCATCAAAACCAGAAGAGATGAATACGAATCGACTAATCAATGAAAAATCACCGTATCTTTTGCAACATGCTCACAATCCCGTCGACTGGTATCCCTGGGGTGAGCCTTAATTGCCAAAATAACAAAAATAAACTTGACAAAAATTCTCATTGCATAACAAAAATATATATTTCCCCTTAGGTGAGGAGGCATTTGAAAAGGCAAAAGCTGAAAATAAAGTGATTTTCTTGTCCGTTGGATATTCGACATGCCATTGGTGTCATGTTATGGAAAAAGAATCGTTTGAAAATCCAGAAGTAGCGGCCATCATGAATCGACATTTTGTAAACATTAAAGTCGATCGAGAAGAGCGTCCCGATATCGATAAGATTTATATGCATTTTGTTCAGATGTGTTCGGGAACGGGTGGTTGGCCAATGTCTGTTTGGTTGACACCAAATGATTTGGCACCAATTACGGCTGGCACATACTTTCCACCAAATGATCGATGGGGTGTGTCTGGTTTTACAACTGTTTTGGAGAAAATAGCCGAAATGTGGCGTGAAAAAGGTGACGAATTGGTGTTGATGGGCAAAAAAATCATTGACATTATCAAACAAAAAGAACAAAGCGAAAATAGTTCGGACCAATCATCTGAAGACGATATTGAAGTGCGATTCAATCAAGTTGTTCAAATTTATGAACGACATTTTGATGATGTTTGGGGTGGTTTCGGTTCAGTAACCAAATTTCCCGAAGTTTCGAAATTGAATTTAGCATTTCATGCACAAATTCACAAGCCAGACAGTGATATGGGCAGATATGCATTGATGACTCTGGTGAACATTGCAAAGGGCGGCATAAATGATCACATTTTTGGTGGTTTTTGTCGTTATTCAGTGGTAAGTAATTCGATCGAAATTGTCAAAACAATATGACATTGTAACCATCGATTTTCTTCTTAACAGGATCGAAAATGGCATGTGCCACACTTTGAGAAAATGCTCTATGATCAAGGTCAACTATTAACTGCTTATGTGAATGCTCACAAATTGTCAAGAAATAAATTTTATATTGATGTTGCTGATAAAATTTTTGAATATTTAATAACTGATCTGCGTCATCCATATGGTGGATTTTTCAGCGGTGAAGATGCTGACTCCTATCGTGAGCATGGTGATACGGAAAAAATTGAAGGTGCATTTTATGCATGGACACAAGATGAAGTTCAAATGCTTTTCACCGAAAATGCTGAACAATTTTCAAATGCCGCAACAGCTTTAGACATTTTTTGTCATTATTATGGAATCACAGATGAAGGAAATGTACAACCACATAGTGATCCACATGGTCATCTGCTTGGTCGTAATATACTTCGGGTTCGTACCACTCTTGGTGAAACGGCCAACAAATATGATGTCGATGAGGAAGTTGTCACAGACGTTTTAAATAAAGGCAATAAAATTTTACACACTGAACGTTGCAAGCGTCCACGTCCACATTTGTAAGTTATTTCTTATTTCTTCAAAAATATCATTTGAAAATTGAACAAATTGACTTTAATTTAAATGTGTTTTTACAGGGATACGAAAATAATCACCGCATGGAATGGATTGGCTTTGTCGGGCATATCAGCTTTGTCCACAATTAATCATACTCGACGACGCGATGAATATATTCAAACTGCAAAAGATCTGGTCAAATTCCTGCAAAAGTATGCATATCGACCGAATGAGAAAACATTAATTCGATCGTGTTATGGAGAAGGCGTAAATGATGAAACATTAACGATTTTGTAAGTTTTTTTCTTATTTCTTCCGATACCATTTGAAAATTGAATAAATTGCTGCAACATAATTGAAATGTGTTTTACAGGGACAATCCGATCGAAGGATTCTTAGACGATTATGCATTCTTGATAAAAGGTCTGCTTGATTACTACTTGGCAACACTAGACATGGATGCATTGAAGTGGGCCAAAGACCTCCAAGATACCCAGGATCGTCTATTTTGGGACAACGAAAACGGTGGATACTTTTATTCGCAAGCAGATTCGGCAAACGTAATTTTACGCCTGAAAGACGATCACGATGGAGCTGAACCATCGGGAAATAGTGTTTCTGCACGAAATCTCCTTCTTATATCGGCATATTTTCATGATAAAAGCTACAAAGAGCGGGCATGCAAATTAATGCAATCATTTTCATCGAAAAAACCATTTGGTTACACGTTGCCGGAAATGTTTTCCGCACAAATGATGCGAGCCGACAGTTTGGCTATGATGGTTGTTGTTGGTATGTGACATTTTCAACCAAAATATACTGAATCAATTTAATTGATTTTTGAATTTTGTCATTCCCTCCATACAGGACCAAAGAGTGAAGCACTTGATAATTTATGCGATGTGGCACGTGATTTTTATATACCTGGACTCTTATTGATGCATTATGATCCAGAGCAAGCACCTGAAATGCTGACGCGTCCAGCCATTTCAAAATTCAAAATGGTACGAAATGAGCCAACCGTCTATTTATGTCACAATCGACAATGCCAGTTGCCAATCACAAAAATCGATGACTTTCATCGCAGTCTGAAAGAGAAATACTTTCCGTTAACTCTGGAACACGACATAGACACCCTAACTAGGCCATGAATTTAAAAAAGAACAACACAAATTATGGGTTCACGTGCAAGTTACTCATCTGGCATTGTTTTCACCAGTGATCTCCAACCACGGAGATTTCATTTTTGTTTTGATCGAAACGAATTGTGATATTTGATTTGAATGCGACACGCGTTGAGTGAGGGATGCAATATTTGATATATACAATACACATTATTATTATTATATTATACTATATTTCTTCGTCGTTATTTTAAAAAAGCTTGATCTTAAACAGAAAACACATTGACAGACAATTAGAAAATGCTGAATTAGATCTTATACGATAATGATCGTATTATAATATGTCAATTTATTGTTATTGATTTTCATAGTTTTTCTTGGCTACAAATCCAGCATCTCGTCGATGATCTTGTACACATTTTAAAATTATTGATTAAATGATGTTGGACAAATCCAGTTAAAAAACAAATATTTAAAATAAACTGTTGCTGCAAAAATATTGAGTGGTTTTTGTGTATCTTTTAACTTTTCTTTCGCTTGTCAGTTGCTAGAACGCGTAACCGTGAATAAATTTCATCCCAGTCAAGATATCCACCGACCAAATGACGTACGTTACCTTCTTTATCCTCATAACCAGTCCGGCCATGTAGGAGCCGAGTATTTGAGAAGGCCAAGATAGAACCTAGAACCAACAGAAAAAACAATAAGAATCGATCTTTATTTTCGTGAGGCGGCCAAACAAACCTTGTTCAGTTTTAAAGTAAACTGATTCTTTGTATAATAGATCAACGTAGGCTTTCAATGAATGATACCTAAGAGGAGAATCACAAAAGAAAAGAATAGAATTAATTTAAAGTAATCGACAAATAATCGAAAAATAATCGAAAAATAATAATTAATACCATTCGTCCACTTTTTCCACATCAATTGAAAATATTGTATCTCGTTGTGGTATGCTGTGATTTATGTGGATCATGTTGCCTTCATAATCTAAACTATATTTATCAAGACGTCGGGAGGGGAAAGAAGGATCTTGATTTAAAATTACTTCAGAACATGAAATAATGAATTTTCTTAACTACTGAAATGGTGTGCAGAGTTGTTATTGGCACCAGTGAAGTTCGAAAACTACCTGAAGCACTTATCCATATACTTTTTCAAATGCCGCATGATAAAAGTGTCTCCACCTTTACGGTGCCTATAACAGCTCTGATTATATGCAGAACAGATATCGTTTTTTAACGCGCTGAATTACTTACCAAATGACCGGCTTTCGCATAATTTTTTCAAATCGAAAATCATCTTGGGTGCCATAGTCCGACCAATTCACGATAGTTGTACTTAAGCATTCAAATGCTTTCGGATTTTCTTTCTTCAATTTTTCCGCTACATAGAAGCCGTCCACGAGGGAATTGAATGCGCCCGCCGATTTTGTTTGTGAAATGCAATGCAATAACGTGACACCCGGTGTGTAATCATAATAAGGTAGGTCTGTATGTAATTGTAATGGATTTGATGTGTATGCGACATTTGTTGCATTTGGATCAGCTCGTACAGCATATTCCTTTCCATAATGCGTTTCGCGAATGAATCCAACGCGATCGATAACTCGTCTGACTTGATCTTCAGTCAAAACAGCATTTTTTAACATTACCACACCGTATTTCGTTAATGTCATCAACCAATCATGTAATGCTACCAATAAAAATGTGTTAAAATTAGCAATCATTGCAGCAGCAGCAAAAAAACGGCGATAAGTATTTTTCAGCATGCTTACCATCATCATTTTTTAATACATCGGCCGCATTAAATTCTTTCATTTCAAATTGATCTTTGGACCATAGCTTCGGCGTTGGCCGATAATGATTATCTAAATAATTTTTTCGATTTTCTACGGTGAAATTTCGTTCGTACAACCAATCCGATTCGAATGTTGACACGTGATCGTCGTTCCATGTTACTTGTAATTGCTTATCGATCTAGATTTAAATGGTTGTTTTTGTTTTTTTTTTTTCATTATCATTTTACATTTTTTTTAAAATTGTTTTAACATTTACTTACCGAAATAGACTTTGGTTGAGCATTTTTAAAGTCAAATTGAGTCCAATCTATCGTACGACTTTTTGTTTGGTCATGAAAACAATTTGAACATTGACAATTGTCACGTAGCCAAATCAACGGATATTTGAATTGTTCACTTTGATTTGCGGTATTCTCACTTTTATTGATGTCAACGATCATATAACGTTTGTCGGCCGATGTTTTGGCCGCTAAAAAACTTGCATTTTGTACGGATAATTTTAGATACGTTTGATTGGAATATTCCAGCACTTTTTTTAAGCCGCCTATCAAACGATACATTTTATTCGTAAAATGTTTTTTTGTTGTTGTGGTGTAAGTATCAAGTGTGTTGACCACAAAACAATGTAGCAACCATTAAATCTAATGACAAACTAAGCTTTCTTCTCTATATGCATTGTTATAAAACAGTATCAGCTATTATTCTTGTTGTACACATGTTTACATACGTGGAAACCACTTCATTTACATTGAGCTTATGATTTAAATGATTGTTATCTCGATATTTGGTCTGATATAATGCGAATGTGTTAGTAAAATTAAAAGATTAACACATTTCCAATTTTAATCAGTTAACAATGAGCTATCAGGGTTCATTCATTTGAATTATTATCAAACAAAGATTTTGTTGACAGTACGATTGTGAGGTGGACAAGTATCATTGCAAAAAAAATCTGATTTTTTCGTTTCACTATCAAACAACCATTATTCGACTTAAATGAGGCCGAATAATTTTATGTTTACAGAAATATTAACAAATTCCATATCTTACAATGCGCCGAAATGACTTTAACTGTATATTTCAACGATGACATCTGATAATGTGACATTTATGAATAAATACATTGTCGGACAAGAGAAACTGTGTCAGACAAAAATAAATTGTGCTTCAATTACTTAATACTCAGAAACGAGTACATCAAGTTCAATACTCCGGCTGAAGTATAAGTATTCAAACATACAAATGCACCTGTATATTCCAAGAATACGATGTTCAATTCATAAAATTTTATTTTAGTTTTCCAAGAATAGTTCCTTTCTTGGAAGGGCTAACAAATGAAAAGCTATTTTAAACATATTTAAAGCTTAACATTTGATCATCACAATCGCTCTTGCAATGTTTTTTTTCTTTTTCATTTCAATTTGTGAACTGATACAGAATATCAATTCTACTATCAACAACTATTTTCTTCATGAAGTTTTCCATATTTTTCCTGCCCTTTCATTTCAGGTACATTTAGCATCATTTCTCTCTTTTTGTTTTCGAAATAGTCGTATTGATTCGTAGATTTGAAAAAGAACTACCTGAAAATGAGAAATTTGACATGAATATTGACCCAAACCACTCGTCCTTTGAATCTCTGACCTTAGTTTTCCGCTTAACTCCTAATGAGTCATTAATCAAGACAAAAGAAAATCATGAAAATATCATTTACCACCAATCCCTTTAATCTTATCCTTCATTCGTAGCTTTTATTACCTGCTTCCAAGTAATTTCTCCCAAAGAATACTTAGAAAACGCAAATGAAAGAGAGAAGGTCAGTATGCACATTTTCCGAACCATAATTATGGTTTTTCAAATGAGGTCTCAACTGGTATTTAAGACGTGTCCAGAGTGAATTTTAGCAGAATCTCAATTCTACCTTGCTCTAGTATACATCAGTTATCCCAAAGACAAGTTGTGATTTTTTATTTAAAACGTTTTATTTAAAAGTTGAAAATTTTAAATCTTTCATATTGCAAGTATTGAATTATATTTTACACTTGGCCACAAAAGTGCAAGAGCGAAATAAAAGCAAAATCGAATTTAAAAAAAACTTCGAAAAGTTAAAAGAAATACATCCCAAATCAGTTGAAAGCAAAATCTTCAAACGTACAAGAAACAATACATCCAAATTTTCAACAAGTTAAAAGAAAGTGTTAAAAGAAAGAAAGTGTAATATCAAGAAGTGAACGAAAATGGATTACGTTAATCAAAAAAATCGTGAAGTAGAAGAATCCTATTTATCAAGTTTGGTCGATCTAAGGGACACCAATAAACCAATGATAACCATGTTATCGCTCTTGGCCGAGGAGAACATCCAACATGGCCAAACAATAGTTGATGTGATCAAGCAGCAGATATCTCAGGTGGAACCTCAATTCAAACTTCCAATTTTGTATTTGATTGATTCGATTGTTAAAAATGTTCGTGGCATTTACATTGATTTGTTTGATCAATGCATCTTTGGAATCTTTGTTGACGTATTCAAAAAGGTAAGTTTCGTTTTTTTATGTTAATTTAAGTGTCAATCAGTAAATTTTATTTAAAAATATTTCATTTATCATGTTATCACAGGGGACATATGAAATATGTATATTTTGCGTCACTCTATAACATGTGTATCATAAGTTTTGTCACAAATTCATACGCACGCTATTTAAGCACCAAAGAAGCATTTCGAAAATTTCTCTCAATGCTATTCAGCTTTATTCATAGGCAATCCGAAAACACATTTACAGTACACTGAATGGACCATTGTCTCCGATTTTTCGAAGTGTGTATCGAACCATCAAAATTATGTTCTGGACAAACGATTTGTCAATTTCTATCAACTTTTTCTCAAACCTTTCCACTGATTGTTGTTCGTTCCAAGTGTTTTGAATCTTTGCCTATAACATACATCCAAAAACAGACGAGAAATAATTAATTAAGTGTCTTTTGGTGATGTTAAAAAGATGGCTTTTTCATGGGAATGCTATCTTTTGAGAAGTGAGCCATTATTGTGGCTTTTTCTTCTTGCAAAAGACAATTTTATCTATCAGATTGTTCTCAACGAATTTTATCGATTTCAACAAAAATTGGTTGATAATAGAGCAAGCAATGGAGATTTAACCTTACGTTTCAGCACTAAATGTTCGAATAATGGCTCTAAAACACCTTCCAAAGAAGATCCTATCATACAAACACCCCTTTATCAAAGTTCGGTTTGTCGACGTCTCTAGTTTCTTATAGGAGTGCCCTTACGTTATCAGTGCAAAAGAAACCGCTTGCACTTGATTCGTGGTTCGATATAGCGTTGAATGTTTCACCGTCCAAAATGATGAATTTTTCAGTGCAACATGCAAGGTGAATAACGAGAGTCAAGCGCAATAAGGGCACACTATATAAACGCCATCTATTAATAATCGACTAACTACAATGTAAATCAAACGTATCTGTTTCCCCTTTTTATTTACTCCCTTCTCCTCTCACTATACTTTTACATTGTAGTTAGCCATTTTTACAAAGATGTCGTTTCTGTGTAAGATGTGTGACGTCACAATGTATTTATATGGATAGCGCTCGACTCTCGGTGAATAAACACCCAATTTTTGACACCCTTTGGAATTCTTGCGTAACTTATTTTCCTGATTACTAATAATCGTGTCTAAATCTATTGTTTTGGTTCGAATTTGGATATGCTGTAAGAATCACCAAAAATGAATTTGTGCTTGACCAACGCGGTTTTCGGAACTTCTTTCTCTAGAATCTTTGTCTTCATACTAAGTCCATGAAACACGATACATGGTTCGAAGACAGATTGGTTCATCTTTAGACACATGCAGAATTTGTTTGAACTTAGCTTTCCAAAACCATTTGAGACACTTTTTCGTAAATCCAATTTGTACGACATTGCGAATGGATGTATTTCGTCGAATTGAGTTTGATAGTAGTCTCGAGGTACCGATAAATGCACCGCGTGCATTGGTTGACATTTTTGTTGTTGTTTATGTAGCGCAATAAACGCATGTAAGTTGTGACAAAACTTATGATACACGTGCTTTACGTAAAAAGCACTTCTTTGGAAGTTCTCACTGTGACGCAATCAAAGCGCGACGATGACAAGCAACGTTGACAGTAGCGCCATTGTGCGGTTGCCAGCGAAACTAAAAAATGGCACAAATTTCGATCGCCTAAATCAAAAATGGATATAAATAAGACATAAATATGAAAACCAGTCAAGGCGATGCATTTCATTTACATTTTTTCTCGAGAGGCAACGCAATATTAAATTGTTTGATGTATTTGATTACAAGCGTCACTGAAAATTTATATCAGATCATTTTTAGATCTGATGTGCAGTATTTCGTCACAATGAGAACTTCCAAAGAAGTGTTTTTTACTTATGTCATTTGTTTTAACATTAAATTTAATTTTTCTGTTTGTATTCTTTTATTGATCACATTGGAAATCAAAAATATTTATATTAATCGATTTCTTGCAATGCACGCCAATTTTATTTTATTTTTGCTTCCTTCCATACTTTTTACATTTGTTTTTACATTGAATTAGAATTTTCTGTTTGCTCTCGAAATCTTTTTTTGCATTTTCAATTGTTTTTGTAAAATTTCGAAACAAAAGGAGAAATTTCTACGGTGAATTTGTAGTATGTATGGTTACCAAATCTATTCAAAACTAATTGCACCAATGTTTTAATTCATTTTCTTCAATTGAATAAATCCCTCAAAATATCATCCAGGCCGATTATCTCATTGGATTCCTTGGAACCGAATTATGTGATATCCAAAAAAATCCAAGCATGTTGTAGTTGGTTATTAAAAAAATCTTTAAAAAATACAAATCGGCTAAAATACACGCTTTTTCCAATATGGTCATTTGAACAACAATTTTGAAAAATGTTGGTTTTAAAAAATGTGCACATTGGTTCAAAATTGGGTGCTTTCAGTGATTCGTTAATTGCTATTGACACTAAGACTTACTTAGAGTAATGTGCTAGCCAGCATTTGCTGGCTAGCAGTGCTAGTGCGATACGCTCGACGCATGGAAGACGCGTGTCTATGTGAAAGAAGCATTCTATATGAAGCGCTATGTACGCTCGTATTTCGATTTATTTTATCCGCTGTACTTCTGTTATGTTCATGACTTTTTTAAATGAAAACAGCAATAAAAATAAATCTTGGAAGTGATTTTACTTATTATATAAAAAATATTATGTTTGAAAAAAACCTACACAGTAAAAAAATATCAGCCGACGCTTACTGTGTATGTTTTTTCAAACATAATATATTTTTTTTGAATCCTGATTTAAACAATCAGAAAAAATTAAGTCAAGTAAAATCAATTACAAGATTTATATTTATTTAAAAAAATCATAAACATAACAGAAGTACAGCGGATAAAATAAATCGAAATACGAGCGTACATAGCGCTTCATATAGAATGCTTCTTTCACATAGACACGCGTCTTCCATGCGTCGAGCGTATCGCACTAGCACTGCTAGCCAGGTATCTAGAACCGGGTATTTAACCGGTATCTAGAAATTCTCAGAAAATTTTCGATTTTTTTTTACTTTGGGCAAAAAAATTGGTTCGTTACGAATTTTCTCAGACATGACACATACACCAAAACATCACAAAGGACCGAGTACGACGTTTCCCCCTTTGATGTAAATGTCACTCTATGTCTTATTTGGGATTGCAGCATTTTGGTCCGCCATGACAGCATCTTCGTTTTGCTTCTCTGTGATTGGTCAAGTAAAACGAAGATGCTTTCATGGCGGACTAAAATGCTACAATGGAGACCAACTAAGTTTTTTTTTTTGCATTTTTACGGTGGGTATCGCATTGTTATTACTATTTACATTGGATTCTTATTAAATCGATGAAACATTTTTTTTTTGGAATTATTGTAATTTATAAACAAATTAAATTTTTTATAAAATTTTTAATGAAAAATGTTAGAAAAATATTTTATGAGATGTTTTTTTTTCAACGATTCAATGATTATGCATGTGTATGCATTTTAAATGAAGAGCTTATATATTGTCAAGCCAAAAAATGTATTATTGTGAAATGGCAGAGTGACATTTACATCAGCGCCGTGTATCGAATTAATTTCGCTTGGCAAAGGGGGAAATATTTTGACAGATAGTACTCGATCCAACAAACACTCAGTTTTCCACCGTAAAACTAATGCTGAAATTTTTTAAATTTTGGTTGGTTTGAAAAAAGTCATGGTCATTTTTGGAAAAAAGACTCACATGAAGCGCCATCTAGTGGTCAATTTCGACATTTTTTCCATTCTGACTTCAGATCCGGATAGCTGAAGTTCGTAGCTTTCCAACGATATATGAATCATTCCCGCACCTTTCATATACTTAGAAAGTAGGCTAATTGATGAAAATTTGAAAAATGCGTCCGAACATTTTTCGAATCCATACCTTATTATGCACTTACGCAACAAAATTTAAAAAGAAGCCATAAGAAAACCATAAGCCTAAAACGATAAAAAATAAAATTCACTTATATTAGTTGGCAGTTATGAAACCAATTTGAAAGTAGACTGAAAACTGAGCAAACTAATTTTTCAGTTTCAAAAAATTAGTTGCGTAAGTGGTTTTGGTCTGGGGTCGAATATTTTTCAGATGCCTCTTTTTTAGTTTTTCATCAATCGCACATTTTTCTGGTCATCTGTAAGGTACAACAATGATTTGAACAGGCGGCGTATTATGTGACATTTTCGGCGAAAAATGACCATGAGTTTTTTCACGTGATCCAAATTTTAGAAAAATTACGTTCATAGAAAAAATCAAAAAACTGGGCGTTTGTTGAGGACCAAATATGTGATGTTTCGTCGTATGTGTCGTATCTGGGTAAATTTGTTTTAAGAAAAAATTTCATTCCGAAGTTCAAAAAAATGTTCGGCAAATTTTCAATTTTTTGCCATTTTTCATCACAGGTATACGGCGTGTTTTTTAACAGAATCACGCAAGGGTATGGCATGCTATATAAAATGTTGGCGAACAAAAACCTTACAAATTTATCGGAATAAACCTTATGATTCTATGAACAAAATTACACAAATATGAGATAGTCAATACGAAATTTGTAATTCAGATTCTATCCGATAGATGGCGTTACGGTTTGGCACGTCGCCATGTCTCTCATATACGTGCCATTGCCTTGGAATCACGCCATTCTTAGCTTATTGGAAAGACAATAAGGTCACCTTGATGAATCAATAAAGAAATTTTGAACAAAAGGTTAGATCAGAATGACTAAACCTCGAAAAATGGGGAAAAATCGAAGAAAATCGAAGTTAATCGTCATTTATCTCGAAAAACTGTATGACTGGCTTGGCTTTTTTCCTCATAGATCGAAAGCGCACTCAATTTTGAGCCGATGTGCACATTTTGAAACGACAACATTCTTTTATTTGGTGAAAATTGGTAAAAGTGTGAACTTCAGCGGCCACCTATATTTGAATATCTTAAGAAGTGTTTTGTACTTATGTAATCATCTTTTCAGGTGAACGAAGATGTTCGTAAAAAAATGCATTTTCAACGAAAAACATGGGATGCCGTATTTTCAGCGGAAATACTATATGCACTTGATGTTGAAGTAAATGCAATTGATCCCTGTTGGCCGATGCCAGCAAATAATAAAATCGAGCCGAAAATGAAACAAGATGACTTATTGAAGATTGAAAAAATAGAAATGGAAATAGCAGCTACACGGAAAGAAATAGATAGGCTAGATGCAGGCCCATCACAGGCGGCAGTCGTCGTTTATCCAGCGGAAACGTTGAATTCTGAAAAGGCACTTGGATTCGACCCAAACGATATATCACTGGCCCATCCAACGAGTAGTCAAATTTTCGAAGATGGATTGTCAAAGATTCGAAAATTGAAAATGGAAATTGCAGAAATGCAGGCAGAAATAGATAGGCTAGATGCTGGCCCATCCCATGCTGGCCCATCACATGCTGGCCCAACACATGCTGGCCCAACACATGCTGGCCCAACACATGCTGGCCCAACACATGCTGGCCCAACACATGCTGGTCCATCACATGCTGGCCCATCACACGCTGGCCCATCACACGTCTCTTATTCAGCTCAAACTTCGAATGCTGAAAATGCAGTTGGATACGAACCAAATAATGTATCACGAAATGATTCGGAAGCTTCCGAATCGTTCGGTAGCAGTATCACCGGCAAACGAAATAATTGTTTTACCGAAAGTGAGGACGATTTTGGATCAAGCAGTGAAGATGAAAACGTACCGCGTCTAGAGAAATGGTCATTAGCACCACAAGAAGAAAGGTCATGCAAAAGAAGACGGTACGAAGATGAAGTGATACCACGAAAAGCTGAAAAAATCGAAACAAATGATTTCTATCAGAAAGTATTTGCTGCTGGAATTTTCAATCCATATTTAAATCAAAATACAATGGCACACCCTCGAGTTATTTTAATGGACTACAATGCAGTGACTGGACTTCCTATCAACACCAATCAACGCATCCCGATTTTGGATGATGATACTATTGATGAAGATATAATGTTTGTAGATCAAAGAAATTCAAATGAAAAAAATGATTACGATGGTATGTTTGATTAATTAATAGCCACACTTATATTTTTTTACATTTTATTAAAATTGTTTTCAATTATTTTTTTTTTTTATTAAATTTTCTTCTATCAGCTGATGAAGTGCTCATTTTGGACCCACACATTCCAATGGTTAACTTGGATGAGTATGAAGAGACCAATTCATCGTGGAATAAAGATGAGGAATCGCAGTTTCTGCCGGTGGTGAAAATCAAAGAGGAGTCCATGTACGAAGGATTTGAGGACGACAACAATGAGGACGATTGCTTCGAAGAAGTTGGTACATACGAAGATATTCAATCGCCGACACAGACAACATTGATCACATTGCTTGATGACGAAATCGACGAGGAAGAGCAGCAAGTAGTTACGATCGGCACAAGTAAGATAAAAATTAATTTGTCCAAAGATGTACGTTTAAATAGCATTTCAAGCGAGTCTAGCGGAAGCGAAACAGACCCATGTGAAAATGACTCAAGCAACATTATTGCGGCTGCCAGTAATTTAGAAACCAAATTTGAAGTCAAAGATTCTATAAAGCATGTACAATTCAAGCGGCAACCAGTTGTTCGACGTGGCTTTGAAACTTCAGGTTTGTGTTCGATTATGTAAACACACTTTGTACGTGGAAACATTCATATAGGCGAATATTTATACAAGCATCTCAATAACACTCATGTCTAATTATAAATAATATTTTGAATGAAAATGTAAATACAAACAAGAAAAATTATAAAATAAAGAAAAAATTCCACAAAAATTATCTCGCTTGTTTTACCTGGCAACGAACTCTTTCTGTTCTGCGCCTCTTCTCTATCTTTTTCTTCTTTCTTCCTTCTAGCTTAGCTATCCGGAGATCGGCTACTCTTTAACAAATGTCGAAAAGTGAAGACCTCCAGAGCAAAGTTCACAGGTTCTGAACAAAAATATCTTTGTCGAGTATACTCCATTTATCGACTTCCATTCACTTGATGAAAGGACATGCATATACATCTAACATTGGGTGCATAAGTTTTGGCACTAAATTCAAGCGTAAGTCATTTAAACAACAAACACACAATATTAAATTCTTTTAATTCGATAGTTCACAACGAACTCTATTGATTTCAACAATAATTGGTTGATAATTGATCAGGTAATGAAGGTTTAACCATACGTTTCAGCACTAAAGGAGAATGGAACTTTTTCATTTCTATGTTGGTATCACTGACATTATTTCCATTTGTTTATATGTCAAGTGCTACCAATATAAGAGTGACTGACTCACAAAGTCCCATTCTCCTTTTCGAATAATGGCTCTAAGACACCTTCCATAGAAGATCCTACCCATAGTCTTCATGCGCTGTTTTGACAGCTCCAAGTAGCCACCTGATGGTTGTCTTGTGAACCACATTACTTTATATGTAAAAAGATTTCGCTTGCACTTGCACCTCAACATCGTACAATGCAATGTTGGCATAGTTCACTCGGCAACTGTCAGATGTGCACTGTGCCAGATTTGCGACGTCACAATGTTAAAGTATAGAGCGCATTAGATGTATGATCTTACCATACAAACACCCCTTTATCAAAGTTCGGTTTGTCGACGTCTCTAGCATCATATAGAAGTGCCCTTACGTTATCAGTGCAAAAGAAACTACTTACATCCCAGGAAGCACAGCTGTTCTTATCATGTTTTATAGAATAACGTATTCTTATCCAGTTCTTAAGATATTCTTGCTATTCTTACAATGTTAAAATAAAAATATAATTTAAGAACTAAGGCACTATTCTTTGCAAGTGCTTAACATATTATTGTTCTAGTTTAGCGCGCACTAAGAAACCTAATTCTTACGAGTTCTTTTTTTATTCTTAAAGAATTCTTAAATTACATTTAACAATTGCCATATTTAACGCTGACAATTTGCTGTTCGAAAGAAAACAAGGTTTGAAACAAAAAAATAAATTTTGAAATTTTAATATTTTTCAACGAAATTAAAATCAATCTATACTAAAATCAATTGAACTAACCTTAAAATATTATATTTTGCAAATTTAAGCTGCAATATATCGATATTTACAAACATGAAAATTTTGTAATTTTAAAATTTTTCTGATATTTTCCAATTTTCCGACGGCGCATGATTTTTTAAGAGCTATCACATCAACATTTGACGGTAAAATGGTTTTCGTTTCAAAATTTGGGCTGGAAATATGTTCGAATTCATGATTTTAATCTCATATTTATTCCTTGCCATGTTTCTTGATTGTAACTTATCACACGTCAAATTTGCAAAAAAAATATATTTTTTAATTATGTTATGGTGAGAACAATTCTACCAAGTTCATATTGATATTCTTAATGAAGTTCTTACTATGTGCTTAATTGTTCTTATATAGCTATATAAGTTCATAGTAAGAATGTATTAAGTACGCTAAGCCCCGCCTTTTTGGGGCCCTTTGTACTTAGTGGATTCTTATACTGCGATATAAGAACAAGTGAAGAACTTGCTATTCTGTTCTATATTCCATTAAGAACTTTACAAGAATAGCTGTGCTTCCTTGGATATGGCGATGAATGTTTCACTATCCAAAATGATGAATTTTTCAGTGCAGTAATGTGCGAAGGACTTCAAAACAAAGGCCAGGTGCAATTTGGACAGATACTTATAACACCATCTACGTAAAAAACGCTGACTACAATGTGAATCAAACGTATATCTGTTTCCCCTTCTTCTTCATCTACTTCCCCTCGCTATATTTTTATATTGTAGTAAGCCTGTTTTATACAAATGGCGTTTTTCTGTAAGATATGCGACGTCACAATACAATCATATTGACTGCGCTCATCTCTCGCTTCAAAATGGACCCCCTGTGACTTCTGGTTTTGTGAAAAAAAAATTAAAATCACTTCCTGAAAAATTTTGCTCGCACATTACTGCTATATTTCCTAATAATCGTGTCTAAATCTATTGTTTTGGTTCAAATTTGGATGTGTTGTAACCATAAGAATCACCAAAAATGAATTTTTGCTTGACCAACCCGGTTTTCGGCACATGATGACCATAGGTTCTGACACTACAAAACTTTGGGGGGGTCACGGGTCACGGCCAAAAATCGACGGGGGGTCCCCAGCCGAAAAAACCCTAGCAAAATTGAATATTTCTGAAAATTTGTAAATCTGTAGCAAATTTTTTTTTCTGATGCTATATCTTTTCCGGAAGGGGGGGGGGGGGGTAGTGTTCAAGAGCTGGCAACAAAAAACCCTAGCAAAATGTAATATTTTCTCAAAATTCTGGAGGGGGTCCTCGGGCGCTGGGGGGGGGTCAATGCGACCTATGCGAACTATGTCAGAACCTAAGATGATGACAATTTTGAAGGGATTGAGCATTTAAATTAGAAATACGACTGTACTTTCAGCTTTCTCTAGAATCTTTATATTCATATTAAGTCCATGAAACACGATACATGGTTCGAAGACAGATTGGTTTATCTTTAGACACATGCAGAATTTGTTTTGAACTTAGCTGTCCAAAACCATTTGAGGCACTTTTTCATAAATCCAATTTGTACGCCATTGCGAATGAATATAATTGAATGGTTTTTGTTTGACAGTGGAGTAGGAGTCACGGTAAGTGTCCTATGTGTATTGGTTGACATTTTTGTTTTTGATTTTGTAGCGCATGAAATGTCCAAATTTAGTGCCAAAACTTATGCACCATATGTTATTCAAAGGGGCGATATGAATTTCGGTCGAGAGAGAATGAAACTCACAAAAAATACATTGTTCAGCAAAAGTTTCAGAGAAAAATTACAAAAACATTAGCAAAAAACAACGCTTGTTTTCTTTTTTATTTCAATTTTTGAACTGGTACAGAATTTCAATTACAGCAACTAATCGCATTTTTGATGAAGTGAAATTTTCCTCTTTTTTCCCTCTCTTTCATTTCTGCTACCTTGAGCAGCATTTCTTCTTTTTTGTTTTCGAAATAATCGTATTGCACTGTGTTATAATTAAAATTGGTTTGCTGTTCGATATCTTTCGCACTGATAAGTGGATTATTTTTTGAATTCTGAATTGCTTCTGCACGTTCCTTGGTTGTTAGCCATGTGAACAGCGCTGGCTCATCTTTTCCAATTAATTCTTCAATTTTTTTCATCACCAATTCGTCCAAATCATTATATTTTGGAAAGAACCCTTCTTTTTTCTATCTTCAATTTGTCTCTAAATATACACATATGTATGAAGAGAAAACCTTATGTAGATATATAAAACCTCACACTTCAATAAATACATACAATTGTCAGGTTTGTGTCATCCTTCATTTCCCCCATTCTTTTATGTGCAGCATTTGGATGTAAACCCTTGAATTATGATCGAACCATCGAAGTTTGTATGTAGATTTTAAATACAAAGAGTCGCATTGTTCACATTAGAGTTCGCAAAAATTGTTGTGGTCACACAATCGAAATGTGTAAAAATAGTAACTATTTATAGGCACTGTTAATATAGTATTACTATAGCGGTGGTCAAAGCGCGACGATGACAAGCAACGTTGACAGTAGCGCCATGGTGCGGTTGCCAGCGAAACTAAAAAATGGCATAAATTTCGATCGCCTAAATCAAAAATGGTACACATTTGTGCCACCCAACATAAACAGTGACAACCATATTGAAGTTGCTGTGTTGCCCAGCTTTCATTGTCGTCGTGCTTTGGCGGTAGTGTTTTCTACTCTCTGGGCTACACACAAAGAAATATTGCTATATGAAAACTAGATGGTTTATCGTATAAAATTCGGAACTAGTTGACACTCCATGTAGAATTGTATTTGTTCATATAATTTCATACAAAATATTGTTTTTGTGTATTCTTCTTTGTGCGGTTCTTCTTCGTTTGTCTTTTGAAGAAGATCTACACAAAAGAGAATACACAAAAACGATATTTTACATGAAGATTATATGGACAAATACAATTTTATATGTATTGTCATCTAGGTCCAAATTTTATACGACATTAAATCTAGTTTTCTTTATAAAATTTCTCTCTGTGTACGCATCTTTCCTTAAGTTTCCATTTGGTTAGTCGAACTCCAACTTTTTGAGGAAACAACATTGGTATTGATCCAGCTTCCCCCACCAAAAAATCTTTGATGACATTTGATAAGGTAATAGTGAATAATATTTTAATTATGTTTATTTCGAGAATAATATTTTGTGGGACAAAAGAATTTGTGTCGGAAAAAATAAATTGTGCTTGAAGTGCTTAATACGCAAAAGCCGGTTCAACAAGTTCAATACTCCAATTGGAGATATAAATTTTATCACACAAATATTTGGCTCCATATTGTATATTCAATTCATATCAACTTATTTCTTTTCTAAGAACAGTGTTTTTTTGGAAGTGCCGATGGCGTAAATGAAATCTTTTTTTAAACATTATGCTTGGAATCCAGTCACTTCAAACACTTTTAAAATCAAATTCATGTTTAACTGTAAGAGAAACAATCTCCGTCAAAATGAAGAAACGGGGGGGGGCCCCCCACCGGTAGGACAAGTATTTCGAATTAGACCATCGGCAATTAATTTCTATATAAGTCTGCGCAAAACAAAATAAGTAAATAGTTTCAAACGTTATTGAAAAAAAAAACTTCATCATATATAATTATAATTAAAACGTGAAACATTGAAATTCAGTTTTTTTTATTTAAAAAGTGCTAAAAAAAACAAAATTTTCAAAAAAACCACATCGATAAAAACGATGCTATAAAAATGCAAAATACAGGAATCAATTTAATATTTGTGCGAGGTTATATGTTCACGCCTTTAATCGGATTCCTGAAAAAAAGTGAAAAAAATTAGATGAAAAAACCGTTTACACAGTGCAGTGTGTATAATTATATTGACATAGGAAACTTTGACTGGGTTCTTCGAAAGAAATTCCTTCATCTAATAACACATAATGACATTATTAGATAGAGAAAAGTTCTGTTCATCAAAATAGATATTTACGCTGTTTTCAGTGCTTATGAAACTATAAAAGTACTTTGAAATTCTAGTTTAGCGTTTGACAATGAATAAAAAAGAAATATTTTATTTTATTTTCAGCAAAGAGAAAATGTTAAATGTATTTTTACATTTAAGAACAATATTTGGATTTTTGGAGGAAAATGAAGTACATAAATTATTGTAAATATTCTCTCTCTATCCATTTGTAAGTTAAACAGGTACAATCTTTTTACCAAATTTGGGCATCAAGTGGCTCATGAATCCATTTTTTCCTTTCTTCTTTAATTCTGCCACCTTTTTCTGCATTAATTTCTTTCGTTTTTCGAAATAATCATAATCAACTGGTTTGTATTTGATATTTTTCTGTGGTTGAGGGATTTCATGCGCGGTAACAAGTGGATTTGCATACAAATCGGCAATTCCTTCTTCGCGCTCTGTCGTCGACAACCATGTGAATAGCGCAGGCCTGCCTATTCCAACTATTTCATTAATTTTTTTCATGATCAAATCCTCCAAACGGTTGTAATCTGGGAAGAAAATATCGGGTTTGAGTGCTTCATTTGCAAATGCAACAAACACCTCTTGCAGTCGTGTATCTTGAATCTTTTCCTTGATTCGATCCTAGGTGAGAAAAAAATTTAGCTGATTAATTATAATGTTATGCAATGAATTTAAAATTAGAATTTGTGAATACATACAATAGTTAAGTTTGTATTGGATTTCAATTCCATAATTGCCTTATTGATAACTTCCGTTCCCTTAAGACCTTTGAATTGTTTTTCATCGAACCATTGTAGATTAACGCCGTTTAATTCAGATATCGAATAGAGAAAACATTCCCAATCGTCTACCGGATAGCGCAATCGTTTTTCCCTGTAAAATCTTCTCGCCACATATTTGATCGTACCGGATGCAGTAGTTTCAAGCAATTTTGCACTAGTATTGAAGTCGATCAAGAAACTTCGATGCTTTCGAAGCAATATATTTTCGGGCTTAACGTCATCATGCCTGACACCACGGCTGTGTATGTATTTTGATTGACGTACCTAGTATCGCAAAATTTCAAATGAAAATTATCTTTTCTAACTCAAGATTATAATCTAGATAAAATGTGGCCAAGACACTTACAAAATCCCTGAACAAAATGAGAGTATTGATAGGTTCAGTTGCAATTTCGGTTGACTTTTTATAAAGATGACAGTCGAAAAGTGACATAACTGTCAATATATGTGGGCCCCATTTGTTATAATAATAAATGGGTGAGATGCCATATTTTTCAACACTCGGTTTGTCAACTGCATCCAAATACCAGTACATTTCGAATTCACGATCAGAGTTTGCCTTCGCTTTCGGCGTATTGTTCGTGAATTTCATTGCGACGATGTCATCATTCAACAAATTTATACCTGTGAATGCAGTTTGTTTAGAAAATTGTTCAGTGAAAATGAATCGGATCGATTTGATGTGAATAGAAACATCTTAATGTGCAACATGCATGGACGGATCCACAACATGGACAAATTCATTTCAACTATTGAAAGCTGTATTTTCAGCATCGCAATTTAAAAAAATAGATATAAAATTTATCCTACCTCTGAATATGCGACCATAACCCCCTCGACCGATATCATTATGGTGGACTGGTTTGAAAAGGCCATCAATGGTGTTGTCTTTTTTATTTTTATCAAGATCCCAGATATCATCATTAATATCACCATAGACCTGTCGAAATTTTGTATTAACATTTTCAAACAATAAGTGAAAAACGTTTGTTACTTACAGAAATTGCCAAAAGCCCAAGACCAAAATAGATTTTCAATAGAGTCCACATCATTATGAAGTCAACGAAGTGTTTAAACAACTTTCTTCGTCTAATTTACTTCTTTGATGGCGGTCGACTTAAATACACAAATTTATCGATGAGTTACTAAGCAATATGCATTAAACATGACATATTTGTGACTCAAAACATCTGGCGGTAATTTTTATTCTAAAATAAATTAGAATTACAGTCGAACCTCGATTTTTTGAATACCATTCGAAAGCTTGAAAATTCATATGTGCTGGATCAAACTTTCTGAACTTGAGTTGTACATTTTCAATTTGCAGAAACATTAGAAGACGCCATTGAGTTCGAATTTGGTTTTCAAATAGCCAACAATTATTTAAATATAAATGACATGTCCATGCAATTTTCTATACGAAATGATTTGCGACACAAATGCATATACATGAAAGTATGTGATATAAATTTATCAATATAAATGAATGGGGTTGCACTGTATGGGAAAAAAACAACCCATGTTACTTAATATTTAAAACATTTGTGAATAAATTTATTGACGTACGGCTTTTTTAATTATTTGTGAGTTATTTCTGTTATTTTTGTGTTCTAAAGTAATTATCATCGCGATTACAGTATTTTAGCTTTGTCTTTTCCGATAAGGGAAAAAGAATATAAAACTGATAAAAAGAAATGGTTAACACTCTCAATAGACTGTCTTAAAGCGAGAAATTCGCTAAGGTGGCATTGGTTGACGTGGTCTTCTTTAGGCTATAAATAACTACATAAATAATAAAAATGATGACGGCTTGTCGAACAGATCAAAGATTCATACAGTTCAATATGGTTTTCTATTGGCAAATAAATTTGGCTACAATTTGCTGCATTTCTACTTATCTCACACATGTCATTTTAGCTGTAAATGTATTCCTAGTTTAAAAAGCTCTTGATATTTGCACTGCGTTGAGTTGTTGTGTCCAGAAAACGTATAGTAAGCTCAATTATTAAGAAATTTGGTCTTACGGACTTTTTTTCGCTATTGCTTGATTTTACTTTCCCGATGTGATATTCTTTTGTTTAAAGAATCGACTTTGCGCATGAATACCATTCTAATGATTTCAGATTTATGGAAACCCCGTTTATTTTTTTTTTGGTAATGATTTTTATTGATCAAATAAAACTGAATACACATAACATAAAAATAGTACAGGCATTCGGGTCTAATTATTTATTTTTGTGCGAAATTGGTCTAAAAACTACAAAAACTATAATGTTAAATAAAATAAAGTTTGCTAATAATTAAAAGTAAATCAAGAGTTTATTTCATAGCGAAGACAAATCACATAAACATAAAATTGATTAATTTTATAGTATACGCATGAAATAAAAAAATGTTTAAATCCGAATAATTTACAATCAAGAGTAATGGCTCAAGCAATAATTAAACTATGAATGCTTCACAATGTTCAATTGGTTGAATGCTGGCCACGCTACAATTCTTTAAAATGCTTTCATTCGATTGACTTGTAAATTCAATGCATTCCAAATTGTTTTGACGGATTTTAGTGGATAAAAAAAAGCGGTGACCCCTTTTGAGAATTGAGAGTCAACCATTTTGTATATTTATGAAAATGAAAAACTGAAATTCATTGCGAAAAAAATTTGTTCGATTAAAGAATAAGCTGTGTTTTGTATCTTTCTTTGAATTTTGCATGAATCGGACCGGTCCATTTTGCCCATCTCAAAATCATTTCAACAATAAACCATTGAAATAAATGAAATAGGAAAATGTCGAAGCACACACGAGTGAATGAGAAGGTTGACGGTGTGTATGTGTGTGTGCAACCGATTCGAATGGGACCAATGAATCTTTCGAAACAACAAAGTGATCCCATTTAAACCAAATTTAGTTTCAAGTTAAAATAGTTTCGTTGAATTTCGAAACGGATTTTTGTACAGACACGCACACATATTGCACTAAAAATTTCGTTTTCAGTGACTTAGAATATATATGGGCTGAGGCACAAAAATACGTTGAAAAATTTCGTAATTGGATACAATTTCCAGCCAATTGGTAGATAACCAAAAAATAATAATATATATGTGACATTATATTACAGATACACGGAATTTGGCATGAATGTGCGGGTTAATGTCGAACTTGAAAAAAAAACACGCAAGCGTTTTAAATGTAATTGGGTCGACCACGAATTGGAAATGAAATTTCGAATTTAGAAGCCAATTTAAAGAAAAGCAAACATTGAATCTTTGACATTTCAAGCAATTTAAAGCCTTTTAAACCAAACAAAAGCGAGAATTACCCTAAAGGATTAGTTGCAAACTTTTTTGTATGATAGTTTTTTTTTGTTTTTTTTTCTTTTTGTTCTTCTCTCTATCATTTTCTCACAATTTTTTTTAACATTACTACTACTTAGCTGCGATGTGTATATATGTAAATAATATAGTGTAATAAGCAAAGTATACAATATACAAAAAAAACTAAAATTTATATAAAAAGGCACAACAAATAGTTGTCGAGAACATTACATGCTATAAACTCGCATTACAATTTGATCACTTCCACAATGTTTTTTCTTTCTTTCTTCATTCTATCTTTCTCATTCTTCATTTAATTAAATGCTTAACAATAAATTGTTTATTTTTTAATTTTCATTATCATTTTGTTTTTGCAGTACTTCATCACACGATTTGCGAAATCTTAAACATTAAGTCAAGAATCATCAATGGTCAATATTTTCTACTCAAAATTAATTAATCAGCATTCGCTGTGAATGAGGGTCTCTTTCAGTGCGTTTAATTTTTCTTCGATCAATTGGATGCGATCGGTGATCTCACGCAAATCAACAATCAATTTTGCTTTCGAATTGATGAAATAATCGTAATCGGCATACTCTTCGGGCGAAAGTGTTTTTTCCAAGATTTGTGCGATTATTTTTCCGCGTCGATCGATATCAATTTTAAGGCGTTTCGCTTCATCCAATTGCTCTAATAAACGTACTCGTTTGGCCTCCAACGTTTTCTGAAAATGAAAATAGAAATCCACAGTTAATTCATTTGGCTAATTAAATGAACCCGCATCTATTTGTTTTCTAATTTTCATTTTTATTGATTTTATTGATACGATACCTTTTCCGTTACATCTGTTGTACTGAATAAGCTATTTTCAATGCGAGCCAATCGACCAGACAATGAAAGTAAAAGCATCGTAATATGGCCAACATCATCAACGTGCGAACGAAATTTGCTAGCTTCGCTGGGTCGCACTTTTTGTGCAACAATACTGGAAATGTCAGTGCCGAGCAAGTCGTTTGTTGTATTTTGATCGTTAATTATGCTACGATCGTTTGTCAATGCGACTAATTGTTTGGTTAAACGAATCACAAGCTCTTCTTTTCGTTTGGTTAAATCGCATACATCACCATTTATCAATTGTACATCGCGATTGAATCGACTTCCATTCACTTGACGCGAGAATGGATGATGATTTGAATCGTTTAAGGAGAAAGAACATCCATTCAAAGGTGTGCTGTGAAGAGTGAAAAGCAGAGAGAGAGACATTTAATTAGCAATATGACACAAATCAAATATATAATGAAAATGTTATTTAAAAATATACATACTTTTCAGTTAGATCCAAAGGTTGTTCACGATGCATCGAAGTACCCGCATCTTTCTTGGTACATCGTGACGCCATTTTCGGATTATATAAGCAAGTCACATAATCGCTGGTCGATTTGTATACTTTTGGGGCTATTCGAAATGAGATAACAAAAAAAACAACACAATAAAATATCAATTTATCAAAAGTTCAACAAAAGGTATCTACCTAGAATATTCCGTAGACGATCGTTTGGTGATAATTGTTCAACAAGCGATTCGGTGAGCTGTTTACAATCAAATTCATCGGCAAATCTGGTTCGTGTAATAATTTCGGTTTTGAATTTTGTTGGTGTTGTGTGAATCGAATCGTTGCCATTTGCAGTAACAAAGCTAATGCTATCGTCTAAAATGCTTTCGTCTGTTTGAGATCCAACTTCTAATGTGATCGTTTCATTTAATTTGATTGACGTCACACTATCAGTTAACTGACTGTTTACATCATTACCATTATGCATGAAATCATCCTTGGTCGTGTCGATTATTGATTTTGTGACGATGTCATTCTTATGAATTGGTGATGATGGCAATGACGATGACGACGACGATGATGATGATGATTCTTTGTAACTTTGACCGTTGCCAATACCGTTCAATTCAACAGACGATATTGATTCGGATGACAATTGTGATACGCTCGATGAATCATCGGTGCTAAGGCAATCAATGAACGCATCTTCATCATTTATTTCGGCAATATTTGCATGATGAATACGTTGCGATGACAATAATTTACTTTGCAATTGACTGATTTTTGCATCTTGATCACGTGCCGTAAGCAATGAATCCATAATATTGTTGCACCGTATCAGTTTTTCTTTATCGTTGTGTGACGATTGCATTGGTATTGGTTGCACCAAACCATTTGTATTCATTGCATTATGTTGTGCAACCGTTAGATTTGTGGTGGTTATTTGGGCACGGTGATGTTGTTGTTCATTTGTATGCGATACCATTTGCTGTAAATTCGGTGGCGATGATTGTCGATAATTGGAGCAATCGAGCAAATTCCCCATCGATTCAGTGTTCGTAATTCGTGTACAAACATTATTGTTGTATAAATGATGGGCACGCTTTAAATCAATTGTCGATTGCGAAATGTATTTGGTTGAATTCATCATGGCATTCATTTTACCATTTGCATAACTGTTAATACTGTGATGATGATGATGGTGTTGCTGCTGCTGATGCTGCTGCTGTTGCTGTTGCTGCTGTTGTTGTTGATGCTGCTGCTGCTGCTGCTGAAGATGGTGATGGTTTAATTTCTCATTATTTATCACACCGTTTGTAACATCACCGTTGCCATTGCTTAGGGTCGTATTAGAACCGTATCGTGTCGATGAAACACTTTTTATTTTAACACCTAACGGTAAAACGTCTGGTAAATTATTGATTTTTGTCGAATGCAATTGACCATTGTAGTGCGGCAAATGTATACAATCTTCGTTTGAGTTTAACGTTAATTTGTAACTGCCATGATCTGGATCGGATGTTAATTTTTCGTGTGATTGCCGTGGCAAATACGATGCTTTCGAGTTACTCCTGAAAATATAAAAAAAAAAAATAGGAAAAACTTTACTCATTTGTGATTATAAAAATGTTGATCTTATAGATATCGGGCTTGGTATACATTTATTATGCAAATCTGTGTAAAAAACAACAACAATTTGTCAGACATTGGACGGGCGCCACGTAAAAGTGGTTCATGGAGACAACACAAAATGTTTTTAACTGCATTATATCGGTTATGCAATTTGCTCTGGAGTGAATGCATATTGTGCATATTAAAATGCGTAAGGTAATCTCTGAGAATGGCAACGTATTATTAAGATCGACAAAATAATGCGCGACCTTGTGTCTAATCCGCCTAAATAGCAATTCGACGATTTTTCTTCATTTTTTTTTTGCACTTTTATGATTTATTTACGATGAATAGAAAACTAGAACGTGGCAATTATTGATCGATTTAACGTTTAGCGACAATTGAAAATTCCCTAAGTCGTCGTCATCCATCGTCTTAATTGCAAACGAATTTGATCAATTTTCCGCATTCGATCATCTTTTTATTTCAATTCTAAGCGATCTGTATTCAGCGTAGTTTTTTTTTTCACAAATCTTATAATTTGGCTTATTCGACAAAAATATAATCACGTTAAATGCCAAAATAGTCATGGTTATCAAGCATGAATACAAATGTCTTCTGAACAACACATTTCGTATGTATGCGTTAAGTATTCTGATTGTGTTTTAACTTTTCGTTATTTCATTATTTGTTTCTCTCTCTCTCTCTCTCCCTTCATCTTTTTCCCTGGTTACCATAAAGTATCCATAAAACAACGGAAATGCGATGGATAAACACACTGAAGAAGCAAAAAAAAAAGAGTATCGACATTGTTGCGAATCGCAGATTTGTTTTTATCGGTTTATTGCAGAAAAAACGACGGCAACCATGTGCAAAACAATTCGCTTTAATGGAAAATGTTTTGGTTATAAAATCCAAGTTGATACGTGCGAACATGCGCCATTACAATGTGCACAAAATTTAACATCGATTCATACGCATACAAAGATAGAAGTCAGAAAACATGTTTTAATTGAAATCGGACACAATAGAAAGGCAAACCATTCAAATGAATTGAGTGCGAATAAATGCGACGGAAAAAGGCAGAAGTTCAAATCGCATGCTCAAACGCAAACTCACATTTCATTCGTTTTAAAAATGTTTTTTAATTCAATGCACATCGCGTTTTGCGCCCACTTTGCCGATTAGAGTTTTACATTTTGTATTCTAGTCGGTGGTAATAGTCTTGCATTCGAAATGAATATAACTCGACCAAATATAAATTAAACAACGACAATATACTACAAACACTATATATACATCGAATATGGGTAATTTGCGAAAACAAACGATCACATGAACAATGGCAGTGTTTCATAAACAAAAAGAAAGAAGGAAAGAAAGAAAAAAAAATGATTGAAATGAATTCAGTGCTGATTTTGAACAAGTTTCGCATTTTACGTGGAATTGCAAATGAGCAATTGTACTTTTTTTCGGTCTAACAAAGCACAGCCAACGAAATTTACGGCGAGAAAGAGAGATAAAAAAATGAAAGCTTATCAAAATGAATGGAGAAAAAACATCGCAAGCATTCTATCAAAAAAGCCTACGGGTTAGCATAACATTGTGTTATCAAACTGATTCCATCATTCATATTATAGAAAACCAGAAATGCGCAAGCAATCGTATTTCATGTAGAAAAAAATAAATTTTATCAAATGAACAAACGTACTGAAAAGAAAGAAATGTGCTGGGGCAATACACTTGGACTGGTGGATTTTTTTTTGTTCATTTTCAAAAGAGCGAGACAGAGCGAAAGAAGGAGAGGGATAGAGAGCCCGAAAAAGTGCATTTACCGTAACAACAACGACATTGCCTTTATTCGACGAGACATACGACGGAGGAGAAATCATTGTTCTGTTTTGTGTTCAACATTGACAGAAATGACCTATAGAATTGTGTACATTTTACGCGCACTAAACGGATTTGTGCTCTGATCACATCAAAAGCGTGTGCTACAATAGCGCATATAGATTGCGCAAAACATTATATGGTCGCACTGGTTTTTTTTTTGGTTTGTGTTTTTATCTGTGTTGCACACGAAAAAAAAGTCGCTATGATATTTTCCATCGTCTGAAATGAAATCTATTGATATTTTACATCGATTAGAGCACGAGTCATGTTCACGTTTTTTTTTATTATGTATATCTGTATACAAACATAGCAAACACCAGTAATCGTAGCATCTATATTTCTGCTTTAATTTTGTCATTATTTGTGTTTGCTTAAGGAACAATGTGCTGATTTGTATAATTTTGTTGTTTCACCTCGTTTATTCGTTTTAAGCAAACAAAACTAGTTTATGTCATCTTCGATTTAGTAGCTACTTAAAACAACACAATGAAGAATGATCTCGTGCCATCCAAGAGAAGAGAAAATCGCGTTCGACAAACGATTAATTTGTAGAGAGTGTGCGCTCTTTTTGTCATGCTACCAACCAGAATGAAGTATATCTCGCCTCCGCATATGCCGGTCAGCATTACCAATTTATCTGTGGCATTTCATTTATTATGGTTCTGATATTCTATATGCGAAAGACAGAGCAAGCGATTGGATCAAAGTTTAAATAGATCTGCTATTTCCGCCATTAAATATTGTGCACACACACACACACCAGCAAAAATGAATATGCGATTTTAAGGAGCGGTAATACATTCGTATCTCATCTATGAAATCGAAATGCAAATTCAAATCGCAATAATAAAAACCAATCGAATCGCACACAAAATGAAACTTATCGACGTTGCTGAATAAAGTTGCACAAAGAATGAGTGCGCACGATGCGATAATCTTATTGTGTGTATTTGAAATCTGAATCGCAATGAAGAATGTATTTTTTTTTCATATATTGTACACAGATTATATTTTCAAATCGAAAAATGGAGAAAAAAAAACTGAACTTTAATACCAATTGGCAAATGAAAGCCAATATATATTTGGATATATATAAATCCGCATTTTACGATAGTAAATAGATATTAATAACATTAGAGCATAGAGAAACCGTAACAACAACAAGTCCCTCAAATTCGATTTTTTTTCTCTCGGAAAATTATCGTTAAATGGCATTTTTTCGCTTCGTTGAAATTTATTATTCAAAAGTTGGTCGAAAAAAAAAACGTGGATGGCGTGTGCTAACAACTATTACCATTTAGCATTTCTAAATGTATATTTTTCCGTTTTTCATTTTTTTCCTCGACTTTTTTTAACGTATCTCTCTGGAAAAAAATCGAACTGCACTTTGGCATTTACGAAAAACCGATTAAAATATAAAGCTCAACAACAGATACGCATTTGAAATGGTTAAATGGCACACAACATACACACACACTGTCATTTTCGACCAAATGTAATGCGCTACGAAGGCGCCCAACATAAAGTTCTTTGACTGCACGTTGAAACTTATAAATTGAATGCAACAAAGTAAAAACCAAAAACAACAAAAAAAAATTCTGTGCAAACTGAAAAAGGCGCAAACTGCACATTTGTTATATTTTATCCATCAATATGCGAATGAATGAGCAATATGATCATTTATTCTCCGTCTGATTCGTTGATTTTGGTTTTACATTTTGAATTTGGTGAGTTTGGCTTTTGGAGTTTTATATGATTTTTTTAGGGGTTGTGTTGTTGTGTGTACTATTCAATTACCAGAGAGTTGAATCGATATTCATGTTAATTCGATTCGCCTACAATAGTTCATTCAAACGTAACGATCGATAGAGCGCAGAGAGACAAAACAAAAATTTACTCGATGAGAATAACAATAAACCCATTTGGGTAACAACAAGTTGAAGAGCACACACACACAATTCCAATGTTCAATAATTGTTTGTTCGTATGCAGAAACTGTTGGAAAGAAGAAAAAAAAAATCGTCCGGGCACGATGTTGCAAAATCAACACCATACAATGGATGCAGTCAGATAGACACCAAGTCAAATGATGATTGGATACACAGACAACGAAGAAAAAATCAGCAAGCACAATTCGAAATCGTATCCATAAATTCAATGAGTACAAATCTGGTTGGCATAATCTTAACATAGAATTCTGTTCTGTCGACTTAGCATTTAAGCATTTTATCCGTCAAGTTTTTCATTAGCAAAGGAAAAAACAAAATATATCATTTAGAAAATCTTGCGGTGGCGTATCAATGAAAATACTTCTCATTCTCAGTTGAATAGACATTGAAAATGGTACAAATTATAAACCGACGAACCGTTTTAGTGCTGAATCACTTTTATTTTGTTGCTGATGAATAGATAAAAGTCAATTGTCCATCATTTGGCACATGGGCGTCGTCGGTGTTTCTATAGCAATGCTCAACTTTTGGACTTAGAATGATTTGGAGAAAAATGCGATTTGGCAAGATTATCGCACATTTGCGAGTGATTTTCTAATGGTAATTGTTTTCAATAGATTTGAATTGCATTTACCATGCGCTCGTACTTAATACGAAAAGCGTTCAAGATGCATATTTCGTAAACATTATTTATTGTTGTGTGTGATTCCTGTTTGTTCATATGGCAGCCGGTACACAGCCGTTTCTCTCGTTTTTTTCCTTCTTTTCACAATTTTATTCGCGCTGCATATTGTAACAACGAAGCGTTAAAGTTCATGCATGATGTATATTTATTGCCATTTACTTGATGTCCGAGTTCATTGCTCAAAATCGGTTTGATTTTCATTACATATTACAACTTTTGTTGTTTCGGGCGTAAAAAACATTAATGCTTCATTTTGTTTATATTTATATATTTTCGCAGAGAAATGATTTAAACAGGAAACAACAACAACAAAAATAGACAGACACAAAGAACAAAACATCGTCGACAGAGGCAATCCGCCATAGTGCCATTAGAAAATTGCAACAAATATCTAAAAATAGTACATACTAAACACGAACATTTATATATATAT